TGGTTGCAGGACTGAAAGAGCTGCTTCTGGTGATACTCGAACTAGATCGACAATTTCTGCCAGTACGAAACATGATGAAACGAGATAGGGGCAACGCTCCGAGATAGCGCAAGTAGCCCGAACCTTGACTAAACGCAGCAGCTCATATACACAACGCACTGTAAACCTTTTGCGTCCATAGTTGTTAAGAATGAAATTAGCATGGCATGTATTGGGTCTTGATCAGGCATTTTACATATTCTGTGTTATGTAGCATATCCTGCATATACACACGCGCACGCACACATTTTCAATTCTGTGTATGTGTATATGTATCTGTATATTATGTATATGTATATATATATATAGTCATATATATCGATATATATATATATATATATATATATATGTATGTGTATATATATATATACATATATATACATATCTATACATATATATATATATATATACATCTTTATTTGTTTATGTATCAAAGGATTTGAATACGCATGTATATTATGTCGGGGAGTGTACGTAATTATTGACTATTGTAAAGGTTGTATCTGTATCTGGGTGACATGATGCTGCATTGTGTCGTGCTATGTGTCGTAGGATAGTATGCGACACTGTCCACTAGGTTATCATGCCACATGCAGTTATATGGTCTTCTACGCTGCTGTTTGCTGTTATCTTGCACATTACCGAAACATATCATGTTACACAATATTGTGTCGACCATGTCCTGTTACATCACATTGTGGTCTGGTAATATGTGTATAGTAGATAATACATATATATATATATATATATACACATACACGCATGCATATGATGTCATGTTTCTCATTTTCGGGTTATGTGGTTTTATTTCTCGCTTTTGATAACATGCGCCATGGTGCGCAGTACAATTTTCGAGCTTTGAGAGTGTATCTACACACACACACACACACATATATATATATATATATATATATATATATATATATATAAGTGTCTATATACATTGCGCATATTTCGCATTGTCTAGTATGGTTTGCTTATGACATATGACACATGCATTACGATTTTTGATGCGTGACATGTCATATGTGCTGTGTGACAGAACTCGCTCATCTGACATATGGCTCATGTTACATGACGTATCGAATTTTCTAATGCCGTATATGATATGTTTTGTATCACATATCATACTTTAGATTATAAGTTGTTACCCTGGAGTTACTTTTGCTATATCACCACCACCCCCACTAGCCCCCATCAGCAGCACCACCACCCCCACCAGCACCCATCAGCAGCACCACCAGCACCACCGCACCACCAGCACCACCAGCACCACCAGCACCACCAGCACCACCAGCACCACCAGCACCACCAGCACCACCAGCACCACCAGCACCACCAGCACCACCACCAGCACCACCAGCACCACCAGCACCACCACCACCACCACCAGCACCACCAGCACCACCAGCGCCACCAGCACCACCAGCACCACCAGCACCACCAGCACCACCAGCACCACCAGCACCACCAGCACCACCAGCACCGTCAGCACCGTCAGCACCGTCAGCACCGTCAGCACCGCCAGCACCGCCAGCACCGCCAGCACCGCCAGCACCGCCAGCACCGCCAGCACCGCCAGCACCGCCAGCACCGCCAGCACCGCCAGCACCGCCAGCACCGCTAGCACCGCCAGTGCCGCCAGCACCGCCAGCACCGCCAGCAGCGCCAGCAGCGCCAGCAGCGCCAGCACCACCAGCACCACCAGCACCACCCACCAGCAGCAGCACCACCACCACAACCACCAGCACCAGCACCAGCGCCAGCGCCAGCACCAGCACCAGCACCAGCCCTCTGCTACAGTAGTTCAACACATGCATGAGAGTAGGAATGACGACAACTGCTTGCCAGCTTCAGTGCGGTGTGGCAGCTTCGGGCCTTCGGCGATGAGCCAGGCCCCGGGCTCAGGGCTGTGCGCGGCTTTGCGAGCCTTTGCTCGTGCTGGAGGAGCGCGCGGCAGTGTGGACTCTGGAGGCACCTGATTTGGGGTTTCGGGGTTACCAGTAGGGCTGGGGTTTAATTAGGGCCTTCAGGGTTCAGGAGCGTTTGGGCATGGTTATCCAAGCTGCACTGCCTCCTTTCAGATCTAATTTTAATGAGAATCCAATGTGCTTCGGTGTCGCCATGCAAGCCGCGGTATTTGATTATGAAGCGGTTGCAGATGAACTGGCCGCCAAGTTCATGGAATTAACAAGTTGGACAGCAACAAGCGCCCGCAATATGCCAGGGCCAACCCTCCGTCGCACTTACTTGACGACCAGCTCGAATTCGTGGAACGAAACACTCCGAGCTGCAGCATACATCAGAAACAAATCACCATGCAACGTTTCGCACGAAGTCGCCCTCGGCGGACGAGGAGCTGCCGGGCCGCCTGCAGAACGAGAGCACAATGCCAATCGAGAGGTGTTGCGATTGTTGCAGTCGCACATGTCGCCACAAGGATAGCAGGAGCTGGATGCATGCGCTTAAGCGATCCGAGGCACGGAAGCGGTTCTGGGCTGCGCGTCAATTAGGACTTTGGCTTTTGTGGAGTTTTTTATCATGGCTAGCTTCAGAAGCTTTATGTCCAGTGATCTATCGGTTCCGCGAACACCTTTGCAAATGCTGGTCAGCGAGCGACGTCAGTAGGGCTCAGGCGTTTTCTGCATGCTGTCGATGTGATGCCAAAGTGCGAAATCTGATACAGTAGGCTTGGCTTGATGCTTTATACGCAGCTGTGCCAATGCTGTCTCGAAGTACTGTGGACATCTGTGGACGTGCTTCAGGAGAACGGCTTTGTCAGGACAAGTTCCTGATGCTGACCGCTTGGCATGCGGCAGTGGTGAAGACGAGGTTCATGGCTTTGGACAGGACAGCTGGCCGCCCAAACAATGCTGACCTACCTGGCTGTCTCCAAAGACGAATGCTTTCGCACCACGACTTATCCCTTTCAGTCCCGGTGCGAATCGGAGAGCAGCCGTGATGTTTGGAGACTTTGGAGTCACAAGGCGACCAGCTTGCGTCGGCGCGTCCCGGGATGTGTGACGATGTCCTTCCTAATTAGTGTTGAGCTTGATGCTCGCGTAGTACGTGTAGTGATACTCTTTTGCCGGCGTTACACGTATTGTTGCGAGATGCTCCAAAAGTTGCGGTCATGCTCAGGGGCTTACTAGGTGCCTGTTGGGTGGAGCAGGGACACAGGTCGTCATTCCTCGCCTTGCTGACCCAGTGACAGCTCGTGGGGAGCTTCGCAAAGACGTTTGAAAAGAAGACACCTTGGTGCGTGGCGTCCTTCCCTATGGACTGACGGCGAGTGGCCGTGGTAGACTTCAAAATGTTGCGTTTTTTCCCATTAAAAATGAGAACAGCGCCACAAAGCGTGCTCGGGAACAAGTGTATCAGTACCTGGTCTGCGCGTAAACGCTTCATGGTGTTAAGACATTGCATCCAGGGGGAGCCCGAATGCGACGAGGATCAGAGGGGAGGAGTAGTGTGACAATGAGCAAAATTTGTGACGCATCAGCGTTCTGAGAACACATCCATGTACTGTACTGGCGGGATCCAAAGGATGTCCGAGAGGCCGAATGGTGTGGCCACGACCCAAGCGGGGGAATGTGGAAACAGCAATACATCTTTGTTCTTATCATTATTGCAAGCTCTTTGGTGTCACCACGCTTCGGAAAAATCCGACATGGTGTTACATGTCATTACGCGGCGGTACACTACATCATGCTACATTAAGCTACATGACACTTTATCCATTAGGCCATTAGGTTACAGCGATACATAAGGTTGTAAAGTGCACCACCTTACCACAGGTTACCATAATTTTTACGTTGTACTGCATCTGATGTAACACCGTATTTACACCATATATGTTTTACATAGTCTTTTACTTTGTTTCGTACGGTATTTCAACAGAAATCGACATTCTATTTTACGTTCGATGAGATGAATTTTCACTATGACCCTTTATACTGAAACATACGACAGCATCTTACAATGTGTCATATTACATTACATTTGTTACAAATATTATGATGTATTTCGCCATACACTGCGTCATGTTAAAGTCTATTACAATGTGTTACAATATATGATATATGTGTACAAATTACAACTACAACATAAATATTTTCTGTTATATTGCGACAAACACAGCGCGTTACCGTACATTGCAATTCATTGCGATATCTTACGACACATGACACATTACTTTTTATTGCATGATCGCATACATACATGCAACACATGAGCGCGTGAATATACGCATGCAGTGCCATGCACGTGTAGCATTAGCGTAGAAATCATGAGCGACCGTGTGAACGTGTGTGTGGAAAACAAGGACTGTAAATGACAAGAAACAAACCCAAACACATATATTGTAAAACCACATTATGGATACATGTTATGTATAGGTAAATGACATGTGTACATAGACACACATGCACACGGTTCATGTTCACATCGGTTTGTGTAACTGGACATGCAAGCTTTTAATGATTTCGTTTGTCAGTCTGAGGAAAGTCACCGCGGAGTTGGCCGAGGCTCGGGATATAGGGTTGGCTGGAAGTCTTCTTGTCTGAATGCGCGAAGATTGTTCAACAGGTGCTGCGAGAAGGGTGACGTTTGGGAATGCATCCCGTTTCGGAGACAAGTCTTCTCAACAGTTTTCGCAATTTTCATCTCCACAATAATTCATATGCAGATACATACAAACGCCTCTACCCGAATCCACATCCATGTGGACATGCATATATATATATATATTCACGATATACACATGTTTTCATACACATGTCAAAAGCTTGTGTACATCATCGCTCAGTTTCTTTCCCCAGTCTTTCCCCGTGTTCTCGTACGGGCGTCGAGGCTGAGGCGGCCCTGGCGGAAGTTGAAGCAGAGCCGGAAGAGCAGGATGAGGAGGAAGTGCCGGAGGAGGAGTGCTGGTACGTGTGGCATTCCCGTCAGACTCAGTTTTCATGGCTTTGATTTTTGTACTCTCGGCGCAGGATGCTGGGGAGGAAGGAGGTGAAGTAGAAGAGGACCGTTGGCAGCTTTTCCGGGAGGCATGCGTTTCACCTGATGTGTCCGCGAGGCGCAGCAGCCCGAAATGGATCCCGCCGACTTCCCTTACCGGGTGCTGGATGAGGCCGGGGTCAAAGCCCAGACTTCCATCCCTGTGGGGGGTGCTTCACACTCGCAGCAGTGAATGCTGCATGATCTCATCTCGTTTCCGCATGGTTTTTGAATTCCGTCAGTCTCTCCAAGGACCGCCTTCACGTCCTCCTTCTGGGGCCGCCGCTGACAGGCAAGAGCTCACTGGCAGCCCACCTCGAGCACGGCAAGCGGAAGATTCTCTCCGTGGACCGGGTGCTAGTGGAGCGTTCGTGAGGATATTCGCTGGATCAGCACGGAGGCTTGAATCACAGAAACGGCGCTGTTGAGAGGATGCTGCCGTGGACTGGGCGCTGTCAGGCCTGGCCGCCTTGAAGTGTCCAACATCGCTTCAATCTTCAGTGTAGCAGGACCTGCAACGCTTCAAGGGCCCGCAGAGGAGGAACGAAGAGAGAGACTGCGCAAGCTGCCACTCGCTCGAGTAAGTGCCGAGCGCCTTTCCTTGACATCGTTTGGGCAAAGCAGATCCATTTGGCCAAATAAGGATGGCCACGCAAGAAGAGGAGCACGAAAAGGCAGAGAAGGACCCCAGAAGCCTTGCCACGTGCATTCCGGAGTCTTATAAAGGGATTTCTGCCCCCCCCCTGTGGTGATTCAAAAAAAGGAGCGAGAAGCCCAGGCCAAGAAGAGCAAGGAAGCGAAGCTCGGATGAAAAAAAAGATCCCAGGGAGGGCCCCCCAACTGCCTTAGCTGCCAGACTGTGAGCGCCCAGGTTCGTGCCGCAAGCTACAAGATACTCGTTGCCAATAGAAGATGTCACCTTCTTCCTGCAACGTCGAATGCAGCTACCTGGCAGCAAGCTTTGCGTGGATGCCGCTTGGAAAGGTTCATGTGTCTGCAGGCTTCCTGACTGTAACGCTTGCGTTGTGTTCGACGGTGCCGACTCCAACTACTTGCCATCAGCGGAGCAAGCTGTGTTCTTGGGCTGCACAGCTGTTTCGTTTCCTGTTGCGCATGAAGACGAACTGACGAGGGCAGCATGGAAGGATGCAGCATGCGTGATAAGTCAGAGATCGACGTGCAACCCCAGCCTTTCACGTTTTCAAAAGCTACCCGCAAGGAGTTCTGCCTAAGAAATGCCGTAAGCACCGGCTGAACGGTGTCCATGTCTTACAGGACAGCGCTGCTTGGTGCGCTGTGGCCCGAGCAGCTCATGGTGCTTTCTCTTTCACCAACGACGTGCGAGAAGTTTACCTTGGGCGAAGGACGGCGTGCACGGATGGACTGTGCGAACTTACATGCACGCCTGAAAGGATTTGTCTCTAGTGCTGTTTGCTCTGCTGTAGCCTGCCCTGGTCCCCGATGCATCCGATTTAAGCCGAACTGGCAGGCTTGATGAAAGCCTCTCCGGAGAATCCAGATGAGGACGCAGAGCAGCTCAAGACCGAGGCAACTGCGAGACATTGGTGTGCATGTTCCTGCTCCGCGAGACTTTGATCTGCTTGATCTGGCGCTTCCAGCGAGGTCGCGGCATTGCAGGCGCAGTATGCGTCGCTGAAGGTGTGGGCATCTGGGTACAATGTCGGCGATTCTAGCGAAGAGACTGTGCTGCTGGTCCCGAGGCGGCCGCAGAGAGCCGTGTGCAGCAGCTGGAGGCCGAACATGAATGCATGCTGCACATGCTCCAAAGCTTCCGCATGAGCCCGTGTTCCACAGCTGGAGGCGATTCTCCCTGAGGCGCAAGCGGGGGCGGAGAAGGCTGCGGCAGACCTCGAAGAGCGTCCCGGCACGGTCAGTCCACGGGCCTTGAGTTGTAGACTTTTCCATTCGCCAAGAGACACGGCAGACAGCACCAGCAGCTTCTCAAAAGAAGAACGCCCAGCCCAGGGCGACCGGCAAGCTGGCAGAGCTTTCGGAGAGGCGGAAGCAGAGGGCCGAGGAGGCGGAGGCTGCAGGCGAGGACGCCAGTTGCGGCCGGATGTGGCCTTTCGTGGCTTGTTTTGGAAACATGTGCTACACAAGATGCGAGAACTTGCGACGATATACTACGTATACCACATTCTGCCACAATATACTGTAATGTACGATCATCTGTGAGGTTGGGCCTGCTGTTCTGAAAGCTTCCCCCAGTTGTCGTCGTCGGAGTGAAGCAGTGCAACAGTCGTGGTGGTACAGTACACTGCATAGACCCGTCGTTACTCTGCTTGTCAGAAGCAACGCCGCCATCTTCGTAATGATATTGTAGCTGCGCAAAAAACCAGAAACTGTCATCTTCACTAAGCTACATGACGAAGCCCTAGTCAACTTATTCAGTATCGTGGTGCTCGTTCACTAGTCATTCGATATGTTCCTGCAGCCGTTTTCAGTTGACCATGTCGACGCAAGCTATCCATGCTTTGGCAGACCGAGTACCTCGTCGTCCACTTAAACAAACTTTCCTGTTGGCTTCCGATCCGCTTTGCAGGCGCCGAGGCGGCAGCTGGTGTGGAAGCATCAGAGGAGGTGGCAGAGATCGTCGCCGAGAGTGCCTGAGCAGCAGTCTGGCGGTCTTGGGCATCACGTGATGCTTCTGCAGTGCTCCTGGGCCAGAGATTCCGAAGCAGTTCCTCTTTGATGCCCGGGCCAGGTGCGGCAACCATGGCCAAGGAAGAGCAGGACCCAGAGGTGCGATGCGACATCAGTGAGAATTTTGTACAGAAGACCAACGGCAAGTCCTGTCAGGCAGCCGAGGAAGCGAAGCTTCGTGAGGAGCTGGTGAACATGGAGGAAGCTGTCAAACAAGCCAAGGCCAGGGAGCATGGCACCACACGCACGAACTTCGCCGATGCCTTCTTGTCCTCCTGTTTGAGTGTTGCTCTTGGCTTGGCTGGCATGTGCCAGGCCAAGCATGCGGATCTGGAAGCTCAGCTCCAGCGTGCCCGCGATGTGCTTCAGCAGCTACAGAAGCTTGAGGCATCGGCCGCGTGTTTGGCGTGTGCACAGAGAGCGCCGCTAGATGCGATCGTCAGGGACAGGAAGAGACGCTGATCTCTCGCAGTCGCGAAGTGACAGCATCCTTGGAGGCAGGGGAAAGGGGGAAGCGTGCCGGAGCGATGCGGGCTCAGGGCTCAGTCTTTCCAACCTTTTGTCAGGCCAGCGTGGCCGGCTTCTTGGCCTCGAAGCGCCGCCCACGCGAAGAGGCAGCACCGAGCAGCGGGCAGCGGGCACTCCTGTTCAAACGTCTCTGAGGCCGCGTCCCCACAGGAGGCGGAGGCCGCGGAGGCCGCGGAGGGCGCCGCGGCGGAGGGCGGAGCGGCAAGTGGGAGCCTCGTTGTTTCCCACAAAAGCCGCGGCGGACGGCTTACGACAGAGGCCCGGCTCCGGCTGCGGAGACGCCGGAGGCCGCCGCATCACCGGCACCCGGGAGCAGTCCAGGACGCGAGCGTCAGATGTAGCCCTCGTGGGCTCAGAGGGCACATCGGCTCCTCGCTGTTCTGAAGGAGTGAATGAAGAAGAGGCCACCCAGCCTGCAGTTGACGTCGCCTCAGCTTCTCTTTGCGTTGCAGTGCTATCGTGTAGCGCATGGGGAATTAAGCGCAGGCCGAGTCACCGACGGAGCCTTTGCAGCCCTTTGCAAGCTTTGCAGCCATTGGCCTCGAGTCCAGCTTCGAGGCCGAAGCTGTGAGGAAAAACGCAGGATGACAACCTGCAGCTCCCCGCCGCCCCGTCTTGAAGGAGTCCGGGCCAGACTTCCCCAAGCTCCGGGCCATTCTTGATGACGTTGTGCCCGGCGCACGGTGGAGTAATGCCTCCTTCACGTGGCTGGGTTGGGTTGTTAGTTGTTGGGGTGTGCTGAGGCCTCCTCCCTGCATCCCGAAGGAACCGCCCATCCCTCCGCCGTCCTTCGCACAGGCGGAGCTGCACTGCTCGAGCCAGCCTTCCAGCCTTCCCTTCCTTTCTCCAGCCAACCTTTCTTTCGTCAGGTGGTGCAGAGGCCGCATCTGCGCCTTCCACGAGCTGCCGTGGAGCGCTTCTCGCTCATCACGCCGGCCGAGAATGAGGAAGGCAGGACCTGGGCCCAGGGCCCCAGGGCCTATGCGCAAAGCGGTCACGCTGTCACGCTGCCAGGGGCAGAGGAGCCAAGGCCTGGGATCTTGGGCATCATGAGTCAATGAACCCTAATACTGCGTGTGTGATGAAAGAGGTTGTGTAGTTGTTTCTTGTTTTTGTTTTAGGGATCGCTTCTGCTTTGCTCACGCAGCTCATGGGACAGGAGCGACAGCAAAGGGGCAGCGGCTGAGGATGCTCGGCAGAAAACAGCTCACCGAGCTGATTCTACGACGCCAGGGCCGGTCAAACTCTTTCATTGCAAACTGTGTTGAGCCAAAGGGTGCTCGGCGATTTTCCAAGGACGTCATGCAGCCCACGCGGTGGTTGATTGAGCCTCACGGGAAAGTGCGGCTCCTCTTGAAGTTCTTCTCGGAGGAGCTGTCGTCTGCAGGTTGCTGTAGGTAGGTGCTTCCTCTTGCCGTCGTGTGCACCACAACTCCGGCTGGGGCCCATTTCTGGTTTCTTCTGAGACTCAGTAGGTTTTGCACTTGCGGTTAGTTTGCTCCCGAGCAGCCCGTGCTCGCGCCGTGGGACTGAAGGCTCCAGGAGTTGGTGCAGTCACTTGATGCAGTGACCACAGTGCAAGTGTAATCAGCTGAGAGCAGTTTGCGCAGCATTGATTCAACATAATTCGAACGCTACTAGTTTTCAGTGCTCTGTAGACCTGTCACCGTGGCTTTTCATGGGATGCCTACCTCCTGAAGCTGCCAACTCTATTCCAAGAGCGGGGAAGGACTTTTGCGCATTTTTGCGCCACAACTGCGCCAGGGCCTTCCTGCTACATGCGTGAAGACGCACTGCCGCGATGCCGAGTTTCACGGTCTGCTGTCAAGACCTGACGTGAGCATGCGACCTCAAAGTGATCTATGAGATATTTGGACGTCAATGCTACCGCCCAGCTGATGCCGCCGCTGCCCCGCTCCTCAGCGCCCAAAGCCCCGACACCCTTCAAGGGGTCACGGCGCCCACAGCCGCCGCGCTCTTCAACGCCGACTCTCTCCTTGGTCTCGGCGGCCGCATCGGCAGAGATTCTTCTATGGTATCGGTCCACGAGGCATCCTCTTCGCAGACTGGCGGAAGTTCAGAGCAAACGTGGCAGAAGCGGACCCTTGGAGCATTCCGTCATGCGGGAGGTGCTGACATCTTTCACTCGCATCCCTCCTTCGGTTCCAAGTTCGTACCACCATGGATCCGGAGCAGAAGCGATGAGGGGCCAGCGTGTCGAATTCGAAATGCAGGATGCTGGCATCTTCCTGCTTTCAGTGGCACAGGCCTCGAATGCGGCCGATAAATCTCTGGCACTGTTGTGGCTCTACCTTTCGTGGTCTTGGACGCACCAGGAAAGTCTGGCATGGAGCACTCTATTCAAGTCTTGATGCTGGTGCGGACACTCTGAGTTTTGAATGGGCATCCTCTCGTGTATTTGCTTGCGCAGCGTTAGGGCCTTTAGGGCATTTTCTGTCGACACGCATTTTGACCGTAAGTTTGCCCGCGCAGCTTTAGGGCCTTTAAGGCATCTTCTGTCAAGAAATATGGGCAGTAAGGACAGTCCTCGTCATGCAGGTAGTGGGCGCGCGGTGCTCTTTGCTGCCTTTAGACTTTGCCAGGCATGTTGTTCCATGGGATCGAAGTCAATGCGCCGATTCACCACCATGGGAGAGTTGACTGTTCCGAGAGGTTGAGAAGTTGAGAGGGGAGACTCAGAGTTCAAGACGCCGGCCTCTCGGGGTCTTCTTCGGGCCGGACCGACACAACAACAACTTTTACACGCTGCTGCTTGGCAAGAAAGCCTGACGACACATCCTTCACCAGCTGGCTCAACGAATTCACGGCTAAGCCGTGCCTGTCCTTTTCACACTTTGAAGGCTCCGCTATGGGCTCAGCGTGCAAATTCCTCGTGCTTGAGGCTTGGTCTGCTGCGGTGGCTGCGCTCCCATTGCTGGCTGCTGGCCTTCTGAGCTCTTGCGACGACTCCGACTGAAGCCCTTGTACAGGTGAGGTGTTTTCCAAACGTGCATGTCTGAGCCTGTACGCTCCTCAGAGAATGTTTGGAAACTCGCTGCATGGATGCAGGCTTTAGCCATGTTACATAGGAAAATCCTGTGTCATGTGCTGTACCGTAGTTACCGTAGGCACTTTAGGCTGTACAGCGTTGTCTACGCGGATGTTTCGGCAAAAGATGGTGCCTATCTCTCATATTCGCGCACTTTGACTTGTCGGTCGCAGACCTGGCTACCTAGAGGCAACGAGCGAAGGAAGCTCGGGGTGAGCTCCTCTTAGGCCGTTCGTGCACGGGCTGTGGTTACAACAGGCAGCCCTTATGCAGTTGACATTCTCAAGAAGATGTTTTGGAACGCACCTTGACCTTGACGACGATGGCATTGTGAAGCTGTTGAAGTTTATCTGGACCGTTCACCCGGCCACGTGTGGGCTTATGGTTCAGATCGTGTGCCCACCACAGTTGTCGTCACTGTCACTGTCGCGCACAGAGCGTAGCGCTTGCTCGTAGCCTTCCTTTCTGTCTGCTCAGACTCATCCCGTACATCTCGCAGCATGCCTTGTCAGCTGGACAACGAACTTCTCTAGAACTGTCCTTCTCTCTCGCTACCTCTCTGTCCTTGTGTGTCTGTGTGTGGCAGGACATTGGAACGTACCAGGCCGCGCTTTGCTTCGAGGTGGTTGGAGGCGTTTGTCTGCCTGTTCTCCTGGTGTCTGACTCTGCCATGCCTGTCAAAGAACAGGAATCAACAACAATGCGCCGGTGTCGATTGCAGCTTCAGGCATCACGGCCTTCCCAGGCAGGGTCTCGCATCGTTTGCCGAGAGCCGGGTAGAGAGGCTTCTTTTCGTTGCGCTCGCCAACAGGCATCAGCAGTGACCCACGCAATGTCTTCACACGGCGGGCGAAGATGAAGCCAGCGAGTGGATATGCTTCGAAGCAATTCATACTCTCAACGGGCTCCCTGGCAATTTCCATCTTCACCGGCCCACAGCCGTCTCATCGTTTCTTCCCGAGGCGTCTTCGAGTTTGGGCCACTGCTCATCGGCCGCAGCGCAGATTCGCGGGCAGATGCTGCGCTCCTCGGCCAGGGCGATGATTTGCAGTCACGTTCCTCGTCGGGGGCAGGGGTAGGAGGATGATGACAAACCGACGAGTTGGAAGCACTGCACAGGCTTCCAGGTAAGCCCCCCAATGTTCACGCATATCTGAATGCTCCAACGCGCTGGCGCGTTCAACACACGCAAGGTCAGATCCACATGTGAAGCAGCACGTAGAGAACTTCCGCATCACCAACAACTCCCTGTTCAAGGCCAGAGCCGCAGTTCAGAGTCCAGGAGCCCGCGAAAGCGCCTGGTACTGGTAGAGACGTGGGTCTGTGAGCACACAAACATGAATAGGTTTGTATGCAAGTGCTGAGTGACAATAAACTAAGTAATACACACAAGGTAGGGGAACTTGCCCAGACAAGAAGAGAAGAGCATGAGCAGCCGCGCCAGGCAGACGTGGCTTTCACGCTGGCCTCGGCTCAAGCGCCCCCGGCTGAAGATCCTGGGAAGAAGACTCCTGGACTGCGGGCTCTGTAAACACAGTAGGAACACTCTTTAGGTTCTGTGGATGGGAGAGGGTAGCAGTTTTGGAGGCTGGATACATGCTTGGGGCGGTGATTGCCTGAATGATGGTATCCGGCAGAGGCTTGACGAGGCGGTTTCATCGAGGCATAGACAGGCACGGAGGACGAGAGGCAGTTGAAGCTTCGAGCTCGATGCAGGAGGGAAGAAGGGGGAGGCGGCGCCTACAGCCTTCGAGGAGCCTGCGGGGTAAGCGTTGAGAGTCCAACGATGAAGATGCTCAGATTGAGAGGCCAGGGCTCGAACTCCTTGTGTTTTTCCTGAAAGTCGCGTAGCTAGGTGGAGGTAGCTTAAGTTTGGCTGCCCTTTCGCGCGATGGAGGCATCTGTTTCACGAGCGCTAGGCAGTGTGGCTCTGAGGCATGTAGAAGACAGGCACTTCCACCAAAGAACCTGGAGTGCCGAAACCGAGCTAACCTCGAGAGCATTGAGGTGAGTCCAGAACCTCCTCTTAATCTCCCAGGTAGTGATGTTTCACTCTTCAGACCTCGAACCACCTTCGAGTGTTCGGCCTTCCGCTGAGGAGTACCCTTTCTTGGTGGAGCCCTCGGAGCTGGAGCTGGAGGTGGGGGAGACCAAGGAGCTGAAGGTCTCCTGTTTCCCCGCCCGGGCCTCAGATTGGAAGTGCCCGACGAAAGGTCCTAAGAACTTCTGCTGCCTCAGACTTAAACACTTCCGAGAACCGTGGGTCCCAAGACCTCGTGGCATCATGGCAGGTCAAGGAGGGGACGTACACTGACACCATCATCGCCAAGATCACGGACAACCCAGATCCCGTGGAGTTTGCCATCGCCGCCATCGGATCCCTCCCCAAGGCAACCGGCGAACTTAAAATTGGAGCGACTCCTCGTGCTGAGTTTCATGAGCAGTCTGTTCTGGGCTTGCCTGAGTGTTTTCCTTCCCTCACCAGAGCCCCTCACTTGCGCCACGGGCCCCTACAGGTGACTTTGGACACCACGGAGTTGGACTTCGACCGCATTCTCGTCAAGCAGCGAATGTCCAACGGCATCAAGGCGGGGGAAAATGGGGGGAGATCTGCCAGGGCATGTTTTGCCAAAGTCTGTTTCTCGCTTTGAGGTGGCCAATGTCTCCGCCGTGCCCGTGAAGTGGCGCTTGGAGGCGAGATCCGAGAGCAAGGGAGGGACCGTCTCTTGGGGCATCGGAGTGTGTGGGAGGCGGCCAACGCCGTCCCTGAAGCCTTCGAGATCGAGCCCATGGAGGGCAGGGGCCTTGGCTTCTGGCTGTTGTTGTGTGAAGTGTTCTTCTGTGCCCTCTCCCGCGTTCTCAGGAATCCTGGCGGTGGCAGAGGAGAAGCACGTCGTGGTGGTGTTCCGGTCTGACACCCCGTGCTCGCACAAGTTCGGCCTCTCCCTGCAGATCTCAGACACGGAAGGTCTGCGAAAATTTGAGAACGCAGCCGAGATCCAGGTAATGGCAGAGGCCTTCGTCGTGGACGTGGTGCCAGAATTTCCCAACAATGGCGTGGGCTTAGACTTCGGCGATGTTCGAGTTGGAGCGACTGTGGAGCAGACCTTCAATGTGGCGAACAACGGCAAGTACCCTGTGAACTTTGACATCAAGATCCGGCGCAGAGCCATCCAAGACATCATGAAGATTGACTATGGCACTCCTCCGGAGGATTGCGGGTGTTTACACTGTTCACAGTGCCATATCTGAACGGGAACCTGATGCATGTAGATGCTGCTGAGCTGGTAGTCCCATCTCCGAAGAAAGCCAGTGTGAGGAGGGCAAGTTCCCAGAGCTGCAGCCCGGACAGAAACAAGCCATCAAGGCCCTGGGCCCTGGGCCCACCTTGCCCTTTGCTTGAACCAAAGTCTCTACTCGCGAGGTGTCGGTGGTCGCACCGGTGGCAATGCAGTGCCCGGAACCAAAACGGTTTGCTCGAACGGGCAAAAACGAGGAGACATTGCTTCTTGCGACGCTAGCCGCTAGCCTCGAGAGTCAAGAATACCTCGAGAGTATCGCAGGAGCTGGAACTGTTGGTCTACGAAGCCAAGACAGGCGCGGTTTTCCTTTCCACACTCTTGCTGAAAAGGATTATTGGACAGGTGAGCGTGTGCAACTGGAGACACCTCTCATCCCGCTAACCCTGCGGGCAGTCGCTTGGCAGAGTGAAGGGCACTCTACAGAGAAGTGGGAGAAGTCGGGGATGAGGTGCACAACTCCTTCAACCTCGCGCCGCCTCGAGGTTTGAGCTTCGGTCCTGTGAAGTGCTCCGGACGCAGTTGGCGACAGCCAGTCGGAGACGTTTTAGCAGCCCTGGACTCGCTTGCCCCCAGGATCGGCGAATCGAACACCCGGGAGTTTGAGATCTACAACGACGGCCCCTTCAAGCTCCTCGGGCTCGAAAATCAAGCATTGCAGCAGAGGGAAGATCTTGTGGCGAGTCTTCAGACAGCCTGCCCCCCGAGATTCGATTGGTTCATCTTCGATGCCACGAACATGAAGATTGGCACAGAGGACATGAAGAAGCCGGCTGCAGACCCAGATGATGGGATCCAATCGATATAGTGATGGGACCCTTGAAACCCTGTGAACCCAGGAGAAAGGGGAGCTTTTGGTGGGAGACTTCAAGATCGTGCCCGCAGAAGGCCGAAGACTTTTGAGCGATCTACTTCTTGTACTTCTTGTTCTTGTTCTTGTTCGTGTTGCTATTGCTATCATTTGCTATCGCAATTATTACGCTCTTTTGTTTGGCAGCATTTCCATCTTTGAGCCCAGGTTCCTTAGCTCCTCAAGACAAAGTGAAGATCGTGGGGACCTTCACTGCGACGGAGCCAAAGTTCTGCAGCACAGCTGCAAAAGATCATAACAAAGTCTATCTATCTATCTATCTATATATATATATATATATATATATATATATATTATAGATAGGCGAGCACAAGATCGGCATCCACGTGGATGGCCTGCCAGAGGACTCCCGGTCAGGCGGAGGTGCCTGGGCCTGAACGCGCGCCGCCAGCTCTGGCTACTTACTGCTTGTAGCAGTGTTCGTGTCATGGCCTACTCCCTGGAGGCAGTCGGGATGATGCCTTTGCTGGCGACGCTCGAGACACAGCTTGACTGTTTCCGTAGCTTCGGACGGCAGAGGGCAGAACCGAGGCTGGTGACAAGGGCTTTCGGGAATACATCCTGACGGCCCAGAGTTGCACGCCAGGCCACGGAGTTTGGAGCATCTCCTCATCGCTATTCCTGTATTCCAGCCAGTTGCAGGCATCGACACGGAGAACATGCAGTCCATGTTTGAGGAGCAGTTCGTGGCACCCACGCTGGAAGATGCCATCGTGCCTTGACGGCATCTCTGCGCTAGATGCTTGCACCTGAATGGTCCGGGGAAGCTGCAACCGGCTCAGGCGACGGCGGGACGCGTGGACATCCGTGCCTTCGATGAGGAGGCCCGCTACTTCTCCTTCGGCCCCGTCTCGCTGCAAGGCCGGGTAGCCAGGAGGCGCAAGGCCCGAAGGCCAAAGCTTTGACTTCTATGCAGGGCCATCCGACCGGCAAGAGCCAGCCAAGTTCCGGATCACAAATCCGCTCCTTGGCCCTCATTGCTTGGAACAGATGCATCATGATGACCGCTGATGTTGTTGATCATGGTCATGGTGATTCAGCGGTCTCATTGCAGGGCTTGATTGATTCAGGGCACCTACTCAACAGAACTTGCAACCATGGGTTTTGGGACCTGCGCTTCACCTTGGAGATGTTCCTCAGTGTCGAGAAGCTGAGGAACCCGATCCCGTGCGATGTCAAGCGTTCCAGATGCATTTGCTGGTGCTATGTTGAGAGAGACTTCGCCCAGCAAGGGTGACCTAAACCAAGCTCATGTGGAACTTGTGGTAAGGTTTGACATCAAGCCAACGATAGCTCCAACTGGTAAAGAAGTACCCGTGCTTCCTTTCGAGCTCTCGAACCAGGACTTGGGTGCAGCACTTACTGGAGCCCTGTGAAAGTGGCGGTGGAGCGTCACTGTTGCCCTGCAGGAGTTGCATATCCCACCGCACGAGTATCGTTATGTGAAGGTGCGTTTCACGCCCCAGGCAAGAGTGTGACGCCGGCAGCATGTCTCCACACCTCTGAACACCTGGGTTTATGCACACAAGCCTTTGCTCGAACCACGCAGACTTTTTCAATCTCACGACCATGCCCGTTGGCTACAAAATCTCTGGGCTTCGCAGGGCCTCCAGCGCTATTCTGCAATCTTCGAGGCGGCAGTCGCAGAAGGGAAGGACGGAGCCAGTTGTAACCTTTTCACATGGGGGGAGGCCGGGCAGGCTTGCCTCTAAACCTGTGAGTTTTTTTTCATGCACGTTTTTTTACGCTGAAAAACTGGCTACGAGGGTGGCAATCCCTGCCTGTGTCGCTCGGAGGACTCGAAGACGAACCACCTGAAGTTTGAGCAACCTGCCTTAGGTTTTGCAGTGGGGGCACGGGAAATGCACTCGCGACTAGCTTTCCTCCTTGGAGCGACTTTAGTCGTTCTTCTCGCGATCCCATGTCCTCAAGCTGCAAGCTCAGGATGCGAGGAGACGGTACCGTCCCCAGCATTTCCATGACGGGCCCTACGCTCTTCGGGGACGATGGTGGCCAGCTCCTTGATCTCATCGAGTTCGCGGAGCTGTCAACAACAGTAATGAATATCCTTTTCATGCTCATCATTGCTCAATAATGCTCAGTAAATGCCACCAAGCTTCCGGAGTGTGTGCTTGATTCCTTAGGTATGACTTCGGCAAGCTTCGGCTGGGAAAGACGCAAGTGGTGGAATTCACTCTGGCCAACCAGGGTGTGATCCCAGCGACCGCGCGATGTGAGACTTGGCTTGGTGCTGCTTGCAGGTTTGGCCGTTGAGCATGTTGTGGACGCTGATCTCGTTGCAGCAAGACGCCGCTCTCCAAGGATCTCACGCCGAATCCTCACTTCACGGTGAGTTGTGCTCGGAGCATTCCTTTAGAGCCCAAGGCCTGCGAGGGACGTGCGGGCACGTGCTGACATGCGAGAGGCAGTTGTTGCCGTGGCTGTGCAAAGGCAACACAGAAATTCCAAGTGACCTTTTGCCCGACAGAGTTGCTTGGCCGGCAGATCATGCATGATGAGGCGGCCAGTGCTTGGCAGTCGTCGCCCATACCTCGACAGACGAAGGTCGGGAAGCCACAGCACCTTTCTCAAGCTTCACACCCTGCACAACTCTTTCGAGGACACCGTGCAAACAGAATTCAACGTTTGAAGCTCCAGAGCTTCGCCACCGATCAGGACATAAAACTCACCTTCGTGGGCCAGGGCTATGTGGAGGATGTGTCCTGGGAGCTCCCTCCCAGCGACAGCTCAGCAGAAGGCGCGGCGCAGGATGACTCGGACGTGCTCCGCATGGGCGAGACCTGCATCTGGACTGCACTCGTTCCAGCATTCACGAGATCTCTTCCTGCAGCCGCTCATTGTTCGCTCTCTTAGGCGTTGGCAGCGAGAAGGCCACGAGCACGGTTTGGGCAAGAATTCCCACCTCACTGGTCTGCCATCAGGTCGTGAGTTTCCAGCTGAACAACTCCGGAAAAAACGTTTTGCGCTTTCAGTTCCCAGAGACCCTGCCGGCACCGCTGTCAGACTGTCTGCAGCTGCTTGTCTGATGCCAGTTCAAGAAAGATTCCTGCCCTACATTCCTCTCCGTTGCTAAGGATCACTCCATCTGTGGGGCATATACTGCCTGGCATGAAGAAGTCGCTCCTTGATCGCAACAGCACGCGATGCCACCGCCGTTTCTAACATGCCCCACTCCAAGGATCAGCTTTACGTACCGGCCAACCGAGAGCATGCAGGCAGACGTGCCTTTGCCAGTCCAGGTCGTGCCTCGGCAGTTTCATTCATCGGAATCGGCACCAGCACATCCTTGTAAAAGTGCAGCGTTGCAGACATGCCCGTCTCTGGCTTTGAGGCTGGCATCACTCCAGATGGCGATGTCCAGGACCAGGGCGTTTCTTCCAACACCTGGTTGCATCTTTTCTATCTTGGGGCCTAAGTCTCGACAGCTCGGCGCGTCAGGACTGGGATGACACCCGCATGGAGGAAGTGGAGGGAGAGGAGCCTGCCCCGGTGCGCTCGTCAGTTATTCAACGGTTTCATCCCCGATCGGCCAGACGCAGCAGGTGCCTGACGTAGCCGCCCTGGCGAGGTCTCCGAGCCTGCGCATGCTGTGGTGGAAGGCACAGCTCGCGAAATGCCACTGAGGCGAGGCAGCCTGGGATTGTGAAGGATCTTGGTTCCGGGTTGCGATTTGCGATAAAAACAGACGAGCGGACAGGCAGACAGACAGACGGACAGAAAGATATGCAGATTTACATACGCTGCACACATAGCTGCATGTTTCCTTCGGGAGATGTTCATGTAGGGGTTTCGGAGAAGTGTGGGGAAAGGGCGAGTGGCCCAGGATCCTGGCGGCGGCGGACCAGATGGCCTACGAGTGCGGGACCGAGCGGATCCACTTCAGCCCGACCGTCCTCTTCCAGACCCGGCTGCATCGCTTCACGGCCCCAAGGCTGCAGGCATGCTTAGGTCTTAGGTTTAGCTCTCGGAACTTAGGGGAGACCTGGGCCGCAAAAAGGGTGTTTTAGGCAAAGACAGTGTCGGGCTCTCTCTCTTGTCCTGTCGTCACAAGGGTGGTTTGGCAATTTAGGCACTCCCCCCAAAAGTCCCTATTGCAAAGAGCAGGGGCAGCATGGCGGATTTTGAGCCGCTGCAGGTAGCAAACCCTTCGAAGATTGCGCTTCCGTACAACTGGCGAATCCTTCCAGCGACTGGTGCTGCTTGGCTGTGCTCGTTATGATGGAAATCAAGCGTTTGTTTCTTGGGAGGGCCAGTCACGAAGATCCTGCAGGTCAAACTTTCTGTGCAGTCAGTAAGAGCACAAGATGCCGTCAGAATGCAGCATCACACCCGGCTTCTCAAAGGCTGACGCCTCGGCTGGGTCGCAAGCCTATGCCATCACACCCGTACGAGGCGCCATGTCGAAGCATGTCAAAATATTCGGATTCTGCTGCAACTTGACCTGATGAAGGTACGATCGCAGCGGGCAGCACGCAGGAGTTCCAGATTCGGTTTGCGCCGAAGGAGGTCCACGACTTCGCCGGGATTCTGGCCAGCTGGATGCAAACCTGCGAGCAGTCGGAACACTGGTAGGGTTGCTTCTGTCTTACCGTCCAATGGTGGCTACCGGCACATCCCAGGACAGTCGCATGCCAATCGAGGAGCGGGAGGGATGAGTTTGCTTTCGCAGCCGTGCATAGCTCCATTGGCACACTCTGGGTCTCTCCGCTCGCTCTCAACAATCAATCTATCTGTCCTTTCTTTCTCTGTCTATGCGCAGACGCACAAACTGCACAGATACAATGACAGCCACATCGATGAAGAGCTCCCGTTGAAGTGCCAAGCATTCCAAGAGCTGCGCAATGCAACGGTTCTAAGCCGACAGACTTTCGGAGCAGTAGGCACATCACTAGGCCCTTACAAGTCTGTGGGCGTTTCTGGAGGATCCGCTGCGCATCCGCTTGCAAGCTTCCGCTCTGCGGCCCTGGTGCCACTTCGAGGCCAAAGCGATCGGAGTGATCTGAAAGCCCCCTTCGGGAGCATAGCTCTGGTCTGCGTCGATTCAAGTCTCAGTTTGTTTCCACATGTCTATACTGTAGCTGCATGAGCCGTGAGGCAACGTGGTCCCCTTTCAATCCCCCTAGTAGCATACGTGGGGCGGCAATCGATGGTGTGAAGCCTTGGAAGCAGCAGACGTCTGGCCGGGCTACGCTGGGGTCTCGTGGAGTCCAGGTCCCCATCAGCGACTACAGATCACGTCGTCAAGCCGAGACGCCTCTGGATCCGAAGTACCAGGCTTCAGTGAATAAGCTACCTCATCGGGTCATGGCGGTAGCAAGAATCAGAGGGCGTCTCCGCCTTTTCAGGTCATTGAGTTCGAGTCCCTGGGCACGCGGGTACGGAACACCAAGCGGTTTTATGCTCCTTGGCGAGAACAGCTGCAGAGCACCAAGCTTTGCTGCACGGAGTGCTGGCTTTTGAGGTCCTGAACCCCACCTCCGACACCTACGAGTTCCATTGGATGCCCGAAGAGTCTGACAAAAGGGAGACTGAGGACCCCTTCCGCTGCCTCACGAAGCCATGTGCTCAGAACTCCTCAGGGTTTGTCACACAGCCCTTCAGGCGTCTCTACAAGACCTGATCCATCCCTCTGCACACCAGGCGGGGCACCATCCTCCCCGGTAAGAAGTACGAGATGCTGTTCGAGTACCTGCCAGCAGCTGCCCAGCTGCAGATTGACGCCAGACGGGAGATGCCCGTGGCGTGGCGACTTGCTTTCGTTTTACTGAGGACACCGAGATCCACGAGTCGCGGTGGCTCTTCTCAGTGCCTGGCAAGCAGGCCTCCCAGGCCTTCGTGCTGGTGGGAACGGTGAAGGAACCTCGGATGGGCCGCTCGGCTCCGTCCCATCACGGCATTCCCCATTGCAAGGCTCCAGAGGCAAGAGCCCGTAAATGCGGCATTCCCCGCTTTTCCCTGCTCACGGGCTCAGGATTGGATCGCCCTTGCATCAAGTTCAACCGTCTTCTGCTCGGTGGCAAAGCGATAGAAAAAGTTTGCATCGTCAACAAGGCCGGGATCCAGATCCCAGGCCCAGGCTCTACTGTAGGTCCTCGATTCCTTGAGCAGCCAGGAGCATTTGCCATTCAGCTTTGCCTTCGACCATAAGAGCTACGAAGCGGATGGGCCAGCGGCTATCTCCCTGTCCCCGGACTCCGGCGTTGTTGGCCCCGGCTCCAATCACGGCATTTTGAGTTCTTCAAAGGCGTTTTTGGAGGTCTTCAGGGCTCTTGGGTCTTCCGCGCTCGCTACAGCACGGGCGCCCCCAGAGCTTCTCAGGTGCGTCCTTCCCGATCGAAGTGAAGTTCTCCCCGAACGAGGAGCGCTTCTTCAATTACAACGTTGCTCGGCTGCAGGCCTCTCTACCTGTCACAGGTCCGCATGGCTGCAAACTTGAGCCGAGGTGGTGTGCAACATCAAGCGCAAGGAGAAGCCCCTCCTCCTGAACATCAAAGGAGAAGGCCAGGCCATGCCATCCCCCATTCCCTACTAAGAACCATTATAGATCCCTTATAGTAGCCTTCTAGACCCCTTTTAAAGGAACCTGGCAAAGCCCCATTGGCCCCTGGCCCCAAGGGTCCCGGCTGCTCCCCGAGGCTACAAAATCCACACGAAGCTGGTTCTGGAGGAAGCAGATCGAGAAGGCAGAGTTCTGCACCCTGGGGTCAAGGAAGCCCGGCGGCAAGTGGAATCTTCTGTAATAAGACTCTAAGGCTCCTTGTTGTGATGCTCTGCTTTAGGTCTCTTAGGCTCTCTTCTTGAGCACGTGTCCTTCTCAGGAACTTCTGGACTTCGGCGATATGCAGGCCTCGGATTGGCCTGTGCTGTGTTCCGTTACGTGCGGGGGGCGGGGGGGGGGGGGCGGGCGGGATTTGATTGCGCAGGTGCAGGAGAGGCAAAGCTTCACTTTGAAGCTCAGCAGCCCGACCTTCGAGCGAGATCACGCGGCAGCGGCCGAAGCAGCAGATGAGCAAGTTGCCGTGAGTTGCTTGGTTTCGAACTGCTGGGCTAGGTGAGGCTGTGTTGCTAGGCTTCATTGCTCCTGCCGGCTGACAGGCTACGACTTCATTTGGCAACTGCGTAGTGCGACGGGACGGCTGATGACCCCACAGGCGGAGGGGCCCCCCTACCTGACGATTACTCCAGTGCACGGGGTGGCGACACAAGATGGCGAGACCGCTTGGGCCCTCGAGCGACTGCTGTAGACAGCACTCTCATGCACTCTCTCTCTTCTCGCTCTCTCTCGCTCCCTCTCTTTCTCTCTCTGTTGTCATGCTAAGGTCATCACCATCGAGTACTCGCCTACCGATGCACACAAGTTGGATGGGGCCTCCCTGCGAATGCTGATCCCCTCAGGCCGGGAGGTGGCTACACTTGAGAACCCTTTCCGCGAGCAGCAGCAGAGCCATACAGGTCCTGACGATGCCAGCTACACGCTGGGCTTGGCCGGCCGTGCCTACAGGCCCTCCTTGGCCTTCCGCCTTTTCAAAGATCGAAGCGTGAAAATCACCACAGCACGTCGACGCCACAAGGCCGATGCTGGACTTCTCCACGCAGAACCACGACTTCGGGCCCTGCTTCGTCAAGCGCCGCCTGGCTGTCAACGGCCTTCTCTCCCCATCCAGACAGTACACTCAGTATGCACAGGCATATCCCTTCCAAAGCATCTGAAAGCCTCAGCCCAAACAAGGAACCGCAGCTAGCGCCGGCGAGCCCTCCCAAGGGAAAACGCCTCTGGAGCGGTTGGACCTCACCGTCACCAATCGAGGCAATATTTTGGAGGGGGGTTGAATTCCATTTCGATCTGCTTTTCGGATGCTTCGATTTGTATGGGTTCTCATGCTTAGAAGCCGGTTGGTTGTGAAGACGGTGAGAGCTCGACGCGTGCGAGCGGCACATTTCGCTCGCCACCTCCGGGCGTGTTGCAAGGCATGACGGACTGTTGGCTCTCCACGACCTTCCAGCGAACGAGCTATCTGGACGTGCAGCTGCCGGCCTCCATGGTGGAAGCTGGGTCGAGTGGAGCTGAGTTGACCACACTGTACCTGAAACAGTCTCTGAAGCGATGATGCACCTGGTGGGCATTGAAGCAAGGTCCCTTGTGGTGCCAATCATCTTTACCCCGAAGGACTATGTCGATTATCGAGAGTGCAGCCTGGACTTTGTCAAGGGCCTTTGGCTTTCGCTGTCGCCGTGTCAGCCGTTGCAGTCGAAGTCCTGTCTCACAGGTATTGAGTTCGTCGTGAACGACTGCACCAAGTACTACGTAAACCTTCGAGGCCTTCCTTCCTTCGTATGTGTAAGAGTCTGCAGGAATGTCGGCCGGGTCTTTGCCTTTGATTCAGGTCAGGGTTGCCCGCTCCAGCTGGAAGCTGCTTCCTTGGCGATGCAAAATGTGGACTTCGGTGTGGCTGTTGGCAATACCGGTGCCGCTGCAGCACTGCCAGATAGGAAAACATCCAACTTTGGTCTCCGCTCGGAATCTTTCTAGTCCGATGTCCTGACAGGTGTCAGCCGCAGCTTGCGGGTGGTAAATCGCTCGGTGCGGCCCGTGGAGTTCTCTTTTCAAGATGCGGATGGCAAACTGGCCGAGAAGTGCGTCTCCTGGTCCCCGACAATGCCCGTGAAGCTGAGGTTGGGCACGAAAGCAATCGCTGGTCGTGCGTTTACCGCCCGTTTCAGTTTCTCTTCCAGGCCGAAAGAGCAGACGTCCTTCGAGCTACGCTACAAGCCGTCTTTCCCAATGCCGGTCTTCAAGCTGCCCCTGGTAGCCAGCTGCAGCTTGGAAGCAGCTAGGGATGGCCAGGCCAGGCGCGCAGCACGCTGGAAGGACGTGGGTTTCTGAGGCAACTTCGGCATCGACATGCAGATTTGTCACGTCACTGGTAGCTGCCATGCTGCTGAAGTGCGCTTGTCTGAGCGGCTCGGCTGCAATCTTCAAGTGCAGGGCTGCAACCTGTCAGTCCTTCTTGCCCGCTCCAGCCAACGTGCAGGCATTCCCTCCTCTTTGGCGACGTCGTCTTCGGCGCTACAAGTACCAAGCGTGTTCATCTCCACAACTTCGGAGACTTGGGTGTGAAGTTCCGCTTCGACATGCCCCCGAAGTTGCTGAACACCTTCTCGGTGGAGCCGTCAGAGGCCACGGTCCTGAGCTTACGTCTGCCCTGATCTTACCGCGACCTCGCTCTGAGGGCTATGCTGCTCCCCGAGACGATGTTCTCCTCCAGGTGAAGTTCCATCCGCAGAGGCCTCGCTACCTTCTGCATTCTCTTTGGAAAGTAGTGGCCAGAGTGGCTCGAAGGGCCAGCAATGAAGGTCTGGTGGATCGGATTCCCATCCGAAGCGGCTGCGCTGCCTCCTGGATCCGCCATATCAACAGGCAGCCGCACATTCTCGCATCGACTTCTCGATGCCCGGGAAGGACCCTGCAGTGCATTGCAGGAGCCAATCGAGCTCATCGTTCAGGGAAATGGCATGGAACAGCCCGAAGACTCCGCGCTGCAACTGCAGTTCTCGGCCGAAGTGCGCCTGTGCTTCCAAGAGGTCACGGTCACATTGTCTTGGCTCTTCTGTGCGACATCTGATGTAATGAGTGAGACTGAGGCGTGAGAGGAAAACTCAAGAGTGCCTCAGCAGCAGATGCAGCCAATGCAGCCACTCGCACTCGGGAGTCTCGAATGTGCCCCCCCTATCGCCTCGCAAACACGCTCCTGTGGTGCTGAGGGTCACTTTCCCGCCCAGTGGGAAGAACACGAGTTCAGAGCCATGGAAGGCGGGAGTTGGAGAAACTTGAGCGGGTGGGTGGTTCGCAGGCACGAGACTCGGTGCGAGGTCCGGCCAGTGATCAACACAGAGATTCCTGCGGGTGAGACGTTCTTCTCCTGTCCTGGAGAGTGCCTCGGAGACAAAGGACGACCTTCGGGCTTTTTCGTACAGCGAGCAGGTGCTGTGTGCCTGAGGATCACGGTGCCGGCCGGAGGGCAGGCGACCATCCCCATCACCTACAGGCCCCTCACCATGACGCGAACGGCCACAGAGGCAGGTTTGGACCTCCCGGTTTTCCGCGAAGAAAGGAATGCCTCCTCCTCCTCCTCCTCCTCCTTCCCAGGCAGATGAAGATACGTCGCCAGCCAAGGGCAAGAAGAAGGATCCCGTCCCACCGAAGCTTGGTCACAACTTCTCGAAGCCTCCAAGGATGACATGTTCCGGTTCGTGGTGGCCCAAAAACATTCGCCACTCGCTGCCAGGAAGCACGTTGGCCGGCTCTTTGCTTCGACGCCGGACGGAAGTGCCTTCGTGTGGACGCTGGAAGGCAGACGTGGCAGTGCGTTGAGATGGCACTGTCCGTAATATCAGCAGATGGCGCTGCACTGCAGGTGTCTCAAATCCTCCCGGCCAAGACAAGAAGCTGACCGCCGAAGTGCAGTGCAAGACTCCACACGTCCAGAGGCTCAGCTGCAGGTGGACCGGTGAGACTGGCGGGTTGAGCTGGAGTGTAGGGATTTGCAGCTACGAGGGCCCAACAGTCGACAGCAAAGGAGCATTCCGCTCACCAACTGGCTTCAGCAAAACCAGCGCTTCCATGTGGAGATTAACCTGGTGCAACCACCAGAAGCGACAGAGGCTGCACTTGCGTTCTGTATTGCTAGGGTTTTCAGAGCAGAGGGCCTGGTTTCAGCAGCATGCCTAGGGGCCTAGGGTTCCAAGGGCACGGAACTAAGTATCCGAGTGCTTTTCAATTTGTCGTAGAGCTACCGAGGTGCAGCATGACAGCGGCAACAGTTTAGTAGTGCGAAATCATAGTTTGCAATGGAAGCGTCTTTTTTTCGGCCAGGAGATCAAGCTGAATGGCATCGGTACTTTCGATGCTAGCCCCTCAAACTCTCCTGATTGCTCGCTTCTTGCAGTGGGGATTGGGTTTAGGGTTGTGTGTTGAATTCTGTGAGGTACCGGCAGGACAAGCAAAGGACTACAAGTTCAATGTTTATGCTTACAGAGAAGGTGCCGCCGTTGTGCGGATTGTTTTCACCAACCCGAAGACCGAAACTTCGCGGCAGACAGTCGCAGCCATGCTTCGGCGTGAACTTGTGAAGACCTGTCTCGCCTCTCCCTTTGCCAAGACATGCGCAGTAGCTGACAAGGACGAATTTGTTGGTTATGAGATCAGCTTCAAGTTTGTGGCGCCGAAATCCATCGACACTCTTCGCTTCAACACTGTTTGCCGTCAAGTGGCCACGCGATCAATCTCGGCCGGGGCCTTCAAGACAACACCAGCAGAAAGCTGTCAATTGATGCCCTGCAAGGTCATGAACCCACTGTCTTCCGTGGCGAAGTTCAAGTGCCAGGCCACACACCAGGATTTCCGATTCTCGCAGAACGAGTTCTCCGCATCTCGGCTGCGAAAGCGGCGGATTCCAAGCATAAGCCTTGGAGGACCAGCGAGAAGGCTTGTTCTGTTTTGCCGAACGGAGGTGGCGCCCAATTCAGAGGCCACCGTGGACGTTCTCTTCCGGCCAGTGATCGTGGGATCCGGCGAGGCCAAGCTTTCGCTGAGCCACTCGGCTTTCTGAAGCTTAGGCTGCGGAGCTCACGCCTCGAGCATGTCTCTTTGCCCATGGCGCAAGCCTGAAACTCCGGAGTAGCTGCAACTCCCGGAGTGCACCCAGGTTCTCCTGAGCTTGGTGACTTCCCGTCCCGTGGCTGCGACTTCTGTGGGTGGAGTGCAGCGCAGAAACATAGAAGGAGCTAATTACAGGTTTGGCCAGGGCATTTTGGTTCTGTGGCAGATCGGAAGATGACCCCTCGCTCGACTTGCTAGAGTTCAATCACAGTGTTTTGCGTCACTGAACCCGGGTGGGACAAAGGCTTCAAGAACAAGTCGGTGCCGAGGTACACGGTGGAGTATGCTGCCAAAGCAGCAGGCCTCCGGACCTCTGTCATTTGAGAAGTCAGCTCTGTTCAGAGTTCTCGGACAAGCAGCATTCAGTGATGTCCGAGTTCGTGGGCTGTTCTTGCGGCCCTGATGTGTACCACCACAGCCTCCTGCGAGGTCTGGACAAGACGATCGTGTTTAAGGCGCCCTTGGGATCCATGGACTCGATACAGCCCTTCCGGCTGCCCGGCTGTGCGGAAGGGGCCGGGATGGAGAGATCCCAGCTCCGTAGCCGTAGCTCAGGTTCCTGCACTATGCGCAGAAGGCCACAACTTTCACTGCAACCATCGAGGCCGCACCAGGCGGGGCACCCTGGCTCTGAAGGCTGCATCTTGCTCGAGCCCTGGGAATTCGAGGCCAGAAGTCGGTGAGTTCGGACTTCGCGCCAGAGATCAAGGACTCGGCTCTTAGAAGTCGCGGCGCCAATCTCGGCCTTTGCTGTGTTTTTTCAGGAAGTCAAAGTGGATGCCGCGGGAGCAGAGGGCCTGGAGGCCTCGATCAACGCCGCTGCCAGAGCATTTTACCGCTTGGCAGACGAACGGCCGAAGGGAGCTTCACTGCTGGTCACCGAGGTCCGATTCACACCTTCCGAGCTTGGCGAGATTCGAGGGCTTCTGGTTCTCACTTCTCCAGACGGTGGTGAGTACAAGGCTTCTTGGCGAAGCCACGTTTGTCAGCGACTGTGCAGCTTGGAGATTGCCAGGCTTTGCTGATGGGCTACGCGCAGCCCCCGCAGCCACAGGGACCTGTCGATGTCCCCAAGGCAGGGCGTACTCTGGGCATCTGTCCCTCTCGTCTTTTCGACGCCTACGCGATTGATTCTCGCGAGGGCAAGCCGACCAACGTGGAGTTTCAGAATCCCTTCGCTGAGCCGGTGGAGTTTTCGCTCCAGGCCCCTTGAACCCGTGCTGCAGGCAGTGGAGGCAGCAAGCTTTCAAGCGGCTCTGCAGGTGGACAACCCGAGCTTCCAGCTAACACAGCGCGCCGTAAAGCTGGACTCCAAAAAGACGGCCTTCGCCTTGGCCACACTATGGAGCACATATCTTCCCTTTTATTTGTCTGTGCCTCGTCGTTGAGGTCCCCATTCCCGTGTCTTTCACGGGCGATAAAGCGCAGGGTGGACGCCTCCTGGTCAGCGCTGGCCGGGTCTCCACCCCTTGGGCCCCTCGGCAGATAAAAGGCTGCTGCTGCGGCTGCTGTATGTTCTGGCAATTGAGAACACCGCCGCTGCTCGGACGGGGGTATGGCCTAAATTAAGAGTACCCTGAAAAGCGCGGTGGCAAGGTGATCTTCCTCCAGGGCGTGCCGTAGCGCGAGGCGTTGACGGCAGCCCGGTAGTTCGCAGAAGCAAGGACCCGAAAAGTAGCGGCGCAGCTGTGCAGCTGTCCTGAAAGTCTTACTTCGAAGAATCTAAAGTTGCTCTTCCCGAGCCAGAGCCAGCTGCTTCGCGACAACCTTTGCTATTAGATGAGTTTAGTGGCCTTTCGGAAACCTCGAAGGACCCTTTACGTTAGCTAGCATGCAGCGCAGTGTACAGCATCGCGCTGCCAAAACGAATTTGCATGAGACGGCGAGTCCAAAACCGGATGCAGTATCGTCTCACTCTCAGCCTCGACCAAGGAGGCAGGAAAGGGTTTGCGGAGACTCAGGCGACGAATGAAAAGGGCGAGACGTGGCATTCTGACTTCGCCCAAGAGTGAAGTGAAGTGATTATCGGATCGCCTTGTTGAGAAGGTACCCGAAATCCAAGAAGCCCTGATGGGGCTCTTCAAGGAAGTGTGGCCCCCGGTCCGTCTTGCTCGGCTCCTTTTCCCGGAGCCCTCTGGGCCCGAGGTGAAGGGTCGGCTTCAGGAGTCCGAGCTGCCCCGAGGCCCGGGGACGACGACCACACCTAACTACCGCTACTACCTGCTACTACTATGACTTGTACTGCTCCTAGCTGCTACTGTGATTATGACTAGTACTACTGCTACTGCTACGACTGCTGTTGCTATTACAACGACGACTACGACGACGACTGCTACTGCTGCTGCTGCTCCTACTACTACTACTACTACTACTACTACTACTACTACTACTACTACTACTACTACTAGTACTAGTACTAGTACTAGTACTAGTACTAGTACTAGTACTAGTACTGCTACTACTACTGCTACTGCTACTGCTACTGCTACTACTACTACTACTACTACTACTACTACTACGATACTACTACTACTCCGAGTCCCAGTCCGACTGCTACTGCTGCAACCACCGCGACCACCACCGCTACTACCACTGCTGCTGCTTCTGCTTTTGCCACTCGTGCCAGTGCTTCTTCGCATCTGTCCCTCCCAGGGCCTGCAGTGCAAGCAGTGGTGGCCACTCGCAAGGTGGCAGAGTCGTGACCCCAGACTTCCCGAGTTCGATGCAAGCTGCCAGATTGGGCGCTAGGGGGGGGGGCGGCATTGTGAAGCCTGCAGAATCGACGTTTTGTTGGCATTTTGTGGCTCAAGCTTTATTAGTAGTTAGGTTATTGCAAGCTTGGTTTACTCTCTGATTCTTGCCAGGGAGTGCAAACTTCTCGCATTCTGTCATTTGGATTCATGAGTCCGGTGACATGGAAAGCCAGAGTTAGGTCCTGATGCCCGACCGATGGTGCAAAGAAGCCCAACCAAGCTGAAGCATCAGCGTATGGCAAGTGTAGGAGGCGTGTTCCAGATCAGCAGCAGCAGCAAGACGCTGGAGCTTGGCTGTAGATGTATGTCCCTCGGCATCCTGGCCCCAATGCAGATCGCCGCTCGATCATGGGGATTCGAGAGGTCGAGTTCGTGAATCCGGAGTCAATCTCTGAAACCTTGAAGTGCCCGGCACCTCGGCTTGCAGCAAGCATGCGGCATACGGACAAGGCCCAGCCTGCGGTTGAGACTTATTTCGATGAGGTATGCTTCGAAGTGTTCGAGGATCCAGTCTTCTGTGGCGGCCGGCCGTGCCAACACGTCTTCTGCCGCACCTGCGTAGAACAGTCCATGGTCGCCGAGTCGTCGCACTCCCAATCTGCCGCTCAGCTATGACTATGACCCAGCTTGGCCCCTCTTCACCGGGCGCTGTTTTCATGCCTCAGGCTCAGGCGCCCGAGGAGACGATGGGGCGGACGGGGCACTGCCCCACATGCCGTGCGAGGATAGGCGTGGAGGACGGAGGGTAAGTAAAATGCTTGCAGGAGAAGCCTTGCAAGAAGGTCCGTCGATCTGTGTCTGGCGCGGGCTGTCGATGTCTGTACCACACAGCTTAAGCTTTCTTGTTCTCCTCGTTGTCTGCGACGGTTCCCCATTTAATTCATCGCAGGTACTGAGGGCTGCCGCAGGTCTGTCGTCATGAGGTCCAGACTGCGCCTGCAAACCATTGCTTTGCAGGACCTGCAGCCGCACCAGGACACCGCGGGTGGCATGAGGCTTTGTCGGTCTGAAAGCCCCGATCTGCCATGACAGGCGCTGAACAGCCTTTTGGATGAGCTTCCTGTTCGGTGCCGGCGTGGCTGCGGGTGGACAGGTCCGTGTCGATGCTGGTCTTGCCTTCTTGTCTTTGCATTGCCCACCACAGGCCGGCGGGATGCTTTGCCCTCCCACGAGTCCCCGGGACCCAACCAGTGCGTCCTCCTGCGACTAGACGCAGCGCAGGCGGGAGAGCAGAGCACGCACCGCAACTTGCCATTTGAAATGCGGAACGGGGGGGGAACCCGGAAAGTGCCCAGGCCGAGATCGCCTACCTCAGCGAGGCGGCGGCGCCGCTTTATTCTTGGCGAGTCGCCTTTTCGCCTTTTCTCCGGTGGAGGCCGGTGGCCACCTGCGGGATCGCGACGTGCGCATCGCCCAGTTGGAGGCCCGGGTGGCCGAGCAAGATCGCCAGGCCGGCTCCGGCTCTCTTTCTCGGACCCCAGGGCCCGCTAGTCGATGAGAGGTCGTCGACTACGGCCGACAACTTGTGGCCAAGGAGATACGTAGCTCGGATTTAGGTTGGAGCAAAGCGACGCTGGCAAAGGCAGAGCCTGGCCGAGGCATTCAGGAGTTGGAGGGGCTGCTCTCCCAACGTGAGCAAGATCTTACTGAGACACCCAGCGACAATTGGAGTAGGATTCTGTGATTCAGAGGTGAGCTTCATAGCCAGCAACTTTGCGACAACCTGCTTCTTTCACTCGCGAGACAACTTACAGGAAAGAGCTCGAGATTGCCATTCTGCGGCAAGGCGGCGCCACTGGGCAACCAAAAGGAAAACCTACAGCTGAGTAAGAGGCTGAGGTCTTGTGCTGCTGCGATGTGTTGGGGCTTAGGATGGCCAGAAGGGGGCCGTGGCAGCACCAGAGCTCTGGCTTTGAGCTGCTGAGCTGCTGCTCCTCTTTGAAGGGTTGGGGCCCTTGGGCGCGGGGTCAGAGAGCTTTCGTGGCCAAGGCTCCAGCCACTTCCAGTTTTCTCTTACGTCAGTCTCGTCTGATTTCTACACCCTGGGGTGATTGTGTGTGCATAGTGTCTCACCGGCGTGCCGATGGCAACGCTCCGAAGCGCGGAGACGGGCATCGAAAGCGTCGCCGTCTAACACGTCTTCTTGCTTCGAGGGAGGCCAGGGCTGAGATCCGGGCTTATCCCAACTTATCGCAGGGAAAGCGGAGCAAGCGAGCTTGGGCTGCCGCTGTTTGCCACGGGCTTACCCAAGCCCGCACCAGTCCTTTGGTTGTTTGTTCGATTGCGTGCGGCTATTTCCATGCCCGAGCCCTGCTCAGTTCATCGACACCGACTCAAGCACAGTGCCGACCAAGACGGTCTGCCACGCAGCTCGCAGTTCACAATGCTGGAGCCAAGCAAAGAAGCTAATGCTGTCGCAGGGCGGCGCGAGGGTCCTTGGCTCCATGGTATGCGCCGAGACGAGCAAGGCCACTTCCTGCACTTAAACCATCTTTTGTCCGGGCTGTGAGAGCGTAACAAATGCTTGCTGGGATACTGCAATGCTTCCCCAGGTCGTTGGCGAAGTTTGCGAGGGAGTCGTCGCAGCCTCTGCTTTCCTCGACTCTCGGGGCTCTGTGCTTCCAGAGCAGAGGATGGGCTGATTCGTTTTGTGCGACTGTTGCCATCTGTGGATCCGTTCATGAGTTCTGGTCATTTTATGCTGTATTGTGCCACAATGCTCGGCCATGTGGTTGACCTGCCTGGCCTGCCTGGTGCCGGGGGCAGCTGGGCTCCAGCCGGAGCGCTTGCCGGGACAGCTGCTGGACTGCAGAGATGACCAGGGCGATGTGAGGTTTTGCTGGGCGCTATTGATTGCGCAGACCGAGCAGGCACTCCTACTTCCCGTTGGACCTTTTCTGGCCGCAGAACAGGTTCCCCTTTGCATCTCTTGGCGGTGCAGCGAAGGAGTAAGTAGAGGGAAGAGTAAGGAAGCCAAAGGCTAAAGCTACATGTCCAGTCAGTGATGCTTCCACTGTAGTATGACGGAGTATGACGTATCATTGTATCATGCATGATGCTGGTGCCGACGCTCTGTGGAAGTGTGCAAGGCGGCAGCTGTATGCTCAGATCCTTCCGTACACACCGGCTCCGCGGCTTGCAGGAGCTGAGTAGAGTCATGTCCAGGTGTTTTCTCCCGCTTGAAGTGTGGGGGGGGGGGCCTGCGTGAAGCAAGGTGGAGCTCGACCAACTTCTTCTGGATGTTTCCATGCTGGCTGCTGCCCTGGTGTGCGTTTCTTTGCAAGTCTGATTCCCATAAGCCATAGGGTGCTGAAAGCTGAGGCCGCCATGCCTCCTTGGCCTTGGGGCCACTTGATTTACCAGAAGGTTCTGGAGAAGGCGTTTTCTTCAGGACCTGGGTGGGCAGCATGGAGAGGCGCCCGTGAGTGTTCTGAGAAGTTTTGCAGGAGTCCCTGGGCAGCTCGCAGAGTTTGGCGTTGGTCTGGGCGGCAGCTCCGTGTTCTTTGGGCACCTCGCGAGGCTTCGAAGGGAGATGCCGGCCCGTGGTGCTCTCTCCCAGATCTGGGATCTTTGGGAGGCTCGCGGGCCGAAAGTTGCTGGCGGTAGTGTCCCGGCATGCATTGACAGACCGCAACGCTGCGAGGAAGCATGCGACGGGATCCCTTCGGGAGGTCCGTAGAGCGCTTGCGTGTCTGTGTGGGCATGCCGAGGACTCCTTCCAGGGGCTTCCGGCCCCCGACGCCCTGAGAGATAATCCCTACTTCGTGGAGGGCGACTTTGGCCCTCCCGATCCCGATGGCCCCGAAGTTGAGAACAGCGCCGCCTTCCGACAGCTGCTGGAAAGCTTCGGCTTGGAGAACACCGTGCAGGTGGCGCGGCTCGGATGCCCCAAGCAAAGATGCGCAGAAGGGAGCCATGGAACCATCATCAAAGATCTGAGGGCGTCGCCTTTCGCCGCAGCTCAACTGCCTGCGGACTTCCAGCAGCCCCGCGACGGATTGAGTTTTGGGCGGATTCAATGTTCGAAAGTGTTCCTTTTCAGCCGAGGCTAGCCTTTGTGCACATTGACGGGGACTTGTACCAGTCTGTGCTAGAAGCTTGGCTCGTTAATGCCTTTCACTGACTCGCTTGCTCCCTCATGCAATCGTCGCTTGTTCACTCATGCAGTCGCTTCAAGCGACCACCCAACTCTTAAGAGAGGAATTCACTCGCTAGACTGCAGGGCTATCGCTCCATGCGCTCCCTCATTTCGCGCTTTCATGCTACTTGACGGCAAAGCCGAGGATGCTTTTGAAAAAACATGGGACAGGGTGTCGGATGGCGGCATCGTGGTGGTAGATGACTTTTTCCACAAGGTGCAGGGCCCTGCGCGTGCATCGGCAGAACCAGTGTCAGACGGCGCAGTTGCTTTTGGTGTAAGTCAGCACAGCGTAGCTACGGAGAGCAGGGAGCCACACCCAGGTGCCACAGCCGATTTCTTCAGATCCAGGTCATCCATTCAGAATCTCGAAGCCTACTTGTAGCTAGCATGCAAAGCTGTCGGATGAAAGGATGATGGCACCTCCGTTGCTCTTCGTGGTCCCAGCATATGCAGTGCTGATCGTGAAGGGCCACGTGGCTCAGACGACAGCGGCCGGCGCTCCCCTTCGGGCGTTGGACTTCCCCTCAGCTACCGAGCAGACAGACTGTGAGGCTGAAGTCAGTGCGCGCCAAGGATGGCAATCTCTACTCTTTCGAGCTTCTGCGGTCGTACGAGCCACTGGCCCGGGTCTCAGCGCTGTAGGCTCTGTGATTCGCAGCAGCATCCGGCCGATCGGTCCAGTGCCGGCACTCTGTAAATGTATTGGCCCACAATCAAGTGTCAAGATCGGTCCCCGAGGTCGAGGTTTGTACGAACCCATACTCATATTCATGAAATGCAGGTCCGAACTTGCCCGCATGCATGAGCATGCCGAGTTCAAGTCTTTAAAGCCGAAGTATTTCAGCAAGTTCACAGCAATCTCATTACAGAAATTCCAGAACGCCAGCCGAGGCGCAGGCCGTCCGTTTGTCGGTGCGCCGTGCTGAGCGGGCTGGGGGGCCGCGGCCGGGTGGGTGCCCCAGGGATTTAGGGTTTAGGGTTTACAACGGCTTCGAATGCCTGGGAGAGAGAGAGTGGGTTTCCAACGGCTTGACGTTTGCCTGGGAGAGAGAGTGAGAGAGCAATTCAGGTATAGGGGGGATACAACGGAGCAAGCCAGCGCCTCTTTCAAACCGGGGGGGACTTTACCCGACTGACACGAACCAGTGCGCGCCCGCGCTCGGGGAGGGCTGCTGTCCTTCCTTGGCTGTGTGCAAGCAAGAGGGTTTACACTGGTTTATAGGGTGCCCAGGCAGTCGCATTTGGCCTGGATGCAAAAGGGTGTAATCCTAGCATGGGAGATCAGTCATGAGAGCTGAACCCCCGTCTTGCTCAAACATTCAGGCAATTGCACAAGTCCTGATGCAAAACAGGGTTTTGTGGTGTTTGCTGGCACACAATCCGGCCCATGCTGAAACAACCAAGGGTTCAATTTGATGTGGCAGTGTATGGCAGGCATAGCCGTAGAGCGCTGCCTCCAAAAAAAGTGTATACCTCAATGACTCCATCACTATGTTACATTGTTCGTACGCAGTTAACCATGTTTCAACGAAGATCGTGTTCACTTGCGCTCGGGTGGTGAAGGAGGGCAAAACATTGTGGGCGCGCCGTTCAGGTGAAAATGCTTTGGCATTTTTGGAATTTCTCTCCTACCCAGCGGCTGGCGCCGGAGTCTTAGCACAGTTTCCGGGTTGAAGGACTGACATTGTGCCGATGGCAGCCTTTTAGCCAAAGGCGCAAAGCGGCGCGGACATATTCAGGTCGCTTGTTCCAAATCTCCATGATGTTCAGATATAGGGCATCGTGGGAAGCAGTGATTGCTCACTGTGGTCGGTCAGGGAGGCACTGCAGTCAGGCGACAAGGTGCAGCCTTTTTTTTGAATAAGCGTATGCGATGGAATAAACCTGCAGTGAGACCCACAGCTAACGTCCAGCGAGCTCTTCAAACCCGAAGATGGTTGGCCGATAGTTCGAAAAAGAAATCCACAATTTCGGGCAACAAGCTCTTTGCTGATTCTTCGTCAACAAGAAGCATTTCAGGCATCCTTGGTTGGATGCCCACTTTAGACACATGGGGACGCCGCACTCGTAACCTACCGTGCGCCACCAGGTATTTGACGCCGCTGGAGGACATGATCGATCTTAGTGATGGTGGAGCGTTAACGCCTTACGGGCCGCGCCCGGAACCTCGCCCACAAAACTAGGGATTTCTGTGGTTCTGTGCGAGCTATCCGGATTGGGTGCAGCTGAGGCGAGAAGGATGCGAATTCCGAGCCAGAGGCGAACAGCGACTTGGCAGCAGCAGCAGTCTGCAAAGGGAGGTGTCTATCAGAGTCCATCTATCCCCTCTATATGTGCGCAGTGCAACCGAGGAGCACGTCTTCACGGGGTGCCATCCTCTGCAGCTGCAGCTGTGCAGCGAGATTGACCTCGCAGTGCTGGAGAACGCGTCCTTGGTTGGCCTGGAGCAGGTCCAGGCTCGCCCAACTCGGCTCGTCGCACGCCTGTGTTGCCGTCGAGTTGGAGTTGCTGAGGTGGAGGTCGAGCGTTTGGCCGAGAGTTTGAATGCTTGGGATCCGACCACAGCTGCTCACAATGCGGAGCGGCTGGATCGGATTGCAACTCAGCCGCAGGGTGACGCTTTTTGGACCCAAGCCTCAGAAGTCATGATGCCTATCAGGCTGTCCTGAAGCGGTGGCTTTCCCAAGAACAAGAGCCGAGCAAAAAAGCAGCCTCGCGTGCTTGCAGTGCTCCTGGCCTCGTCGTGAGTGTCACAGTGCATGGATGCAACGCTTCTGCTGAGGAATGCCCAGAAATATGGAGCCAGCAGCCCTGGTTTTGAAAGCCGCGATCCATGGGCTGCTCTAGGCGCTTTCTTCCTTGCTGCCTGTGAGGATGCCTGGATGGCGATCGCCAGCTGCTCGTGAGCTACCCGGTTCATGGCAGAGATGTGGAAATGTGGAGATGTGCAGCAAAGCGAGGCGACTCTTTTGCCGAACGCCGGCTGCCCAGAGCCCCCACCACGAATCCCAAGAGCCAGCATCCAGGAGCTTTGCCTGAGCCCAGGATGGTTCCTTGTGGGCTGCTGCTCTGAAGCAGCAAAGTGTCGAGTCCAACACGTAGAAAAAGTCCCGAAGCTGCTCTGAGACTGCCAACTGTGCTGACTTCCAGAGGATCGTTTTTGGGTTCATCCTAATTCAATTTCCGTGGGATTGCCAGGGGGGGGCTTTCTGCTCTAGTCTGTCGGCAATTCTTGATTCCGCAGCAGACTCATGGGTACAAACCCCTTTAATACCCATCTCAGAAAAATCAAAACGAATTGCGATTGGCAATTGCTCTCTTTTCGGGACAGGGGGTCCATCAGGAAAATGCGAAAACACACAAAGCCAACATGCGAAACATGCACACAACTGCAACAAATGCAGCACATGTATGCACATGTAAAACAATAACAGCAGCAACAGCAACAGCGACAGCAACAGCATGCGAAGAGAACATACACCGGAGATCCACCTGGTCAACCCCACAAGACACAGCCGCTATCTCCCTGATGCATTCTTGCACTTTCCAATCTGATATGTTATCGCGTGGTTGCATCCCTTGGATTTGGGATGTTGAATGGATTGGGGGCATAGCAGCAGAACCGAGTCGACAGGCTGTGTGGTTCGTGAAGCCGTTTGAAACATCGTGTTTTGACAGGCACATGACACAAGAAGCCTCAGCAAAAAAGGCGGGCTGTGCTGCCAATCCTTATGGAACTGGGTTGACTGCGAGTAGCTGGTATGGGAGAAGAGCTTGCCTCGCCAGAGATTCCTTCAAGCAACCTTTCAAGTGCAGGTGATGTGACAGCTGATGCTCAAGCCAAACCTCTTGGTTGGCTGATGAGCTTTCAATCAGCTTGTGAGCCTTTGCAGGGACAAAACCAACTTGCAGGACTGTCAAGGGCAGTTCACGAACCATCGACTTACAAGGATTGCATTTTGTCGAGGCCGAAGACGCAAAGGTAGAGTCGGCCAGTATACTTTTTGCGCATGAACTTGCGAAGTTCCGCAGGGAAATCAGATCCCATGGCCTGCAGCCATGGGCTTCCAGGAATCTGCCTGGAGAGTGGCTGGGACTGGTTGAGCTTCGCGGGGTTCACACCTGCGGGCTGCGAGCCAACTTTGACACCAAGCTCTCGAGCAGATGTAAGAAGCTTGAGCTGTTCTAGATCTAGCCTCAGAAACTGGTGTTCAAGGACTGCCTGTCCCACGAGGAGCAGTGAACCTGCAATGCAAGTCTTGTCCAGAGCTTGCTATCTGAATTCCAAAGGCTTGTTGCCTCTTCAGGAATCTGCGGCAGGACTGAGAACGAGCAGGTGTTTTTTCAAGGTGTGCTCGAGTTGACTCGCAGTAGCATCTCCCAACCCACAATTAGGATGCCGAGAGGGGTGTTTGATTTTTCGAGGTGTCTTCTTCTGATGTTGGATTCTGGAGGCACCTAGAGACTTAGTCTGTTCTTTGAGTTTGCTGCCCGAGCATGCGTGGGTAGAAGCTTTGGGCCTCGATGTAGTAGCCTGGGTGGATGCAGTGTGCTTCTGCTCGCTGAACTCGGCCATTCTGAGGAATCTCCTCGGCAAAGCCCAGAAGATTCGGAAACTGCTCTCCGCATACGGGGGTTTGCCAACAACGCCGAGAAGTGGCACAATGCGCCTTGGTGCAAGCATGCTGGACGACCGCCACATTCCTTTTTCGTTGCATGTGCAGATCTCAGAGTGATGCATTTGGGTCGCCGAGGCCACGAAAAACGAAGGTGATCTTGGGTGGCCAAACTGCTACCAGTACAGTTGTACTGGTAGCAGTTTGGCCACCCAAGATCACCTTCAGACACAGGTGGTACGGTGGCCCTTCCGACTCAGAGGACAGCCGAAGTTATTTCTTGGGGAGTGCCTTCGCTCCCGCACGACATCGACGTTGCCTGTCTTAGAAATGCCTTCGCTTCGTTCTGTGGCCAGGAAGTTAGCGGCAATGTGTGCGGACGTGGGCTCTCAGAGGGGCACCGCAGCTGCAAAAAAGGGTGTTGAATGAGTATAGATCGTGACGGTGCACTCCGGCATGTTTGCTTCTCTCCGCTGTAAAATCTGGCTTTGCAACAAAGCAGGGCAAGCATCCAAGGCATGACGAGGTGCAGGCTCTCCGGAACAACAACGAGAGGCTCCGGCAGCGTGTCCAACAGCTGGAGTCGAAGTGGCTTGGCTGCAATTCCCAGAGTTGTCGGGGAGTGCGTAAATCGTCCCTGCAAGCAGCGACACACCCAAACAAGATGCACGGCCAGCGAAGTGGAAGCGGAGGTATTGGGAGAGGTTTACATGGTCTTGTTTCAGGGTCAGGTTGAAGTGATCCCTTTGCAGCTGTTTCGTCCCCATCACAGCGCCTGCCTGGGCTATAGAAGGCAGCCTTTGTTGCCTGGGACTTCTGTATGCTCTTAGTGAACCTTAAGCCGACATTGACATGAGCTTCAAGGCCTCCCCTCACTATTCATCAAGAGTCTTCGGCAAGCTTTTAGACACTAGAAGCAGGGTCGGTCAGCGCATGAGGAACAACTTGCAACAGTGATTAAAGGAGAGCGTCCTTGGAGACCCTGAATGTACGAGTTCTGTCCAAAGACAACACATCTTCGATAGCTCAACTGCTTGAAAGCCCTGCTCCAGGCGTGGCTCGAGCCGACGCGCTACAGCGCCACTGAAGGCCGACTTGTGCCTTTCTGCCGTTGCGGCTGCCAGACTAGACCTCGCCACATGTCGGTTACTGTAGCAGTGTAGCAGCTTTTGGCTCAAACTGTGGCCTGTTAGGCCTTTCCTCGGGGATGGCGCGGAAGTCACCCGAGGTCAACAAATCCAAAGGGAAAGGCAAGAGGGATGCGAAAGGCGTTCGGGCTGTGAAGTCAAAGCCGCAGCCCAAGAAGGCAAAGGCCAGCGAGGCCAAAGCTTCTAAAACCACAGTGCGGCACAACGCAAAGGGCCATGCCGAAAGCAAGAGGGAGAAGACGAGGTCTGCCCAGGGAAGGCCCCAAAGGAAGCCGGCAGCCGCGAGCACTGCAAGCAAGAGCTGTCAGCAGAAGCCGAGTTTGGGCCTCGTTACCGATTCCTCGCAAGCTGCAGGTAGGTTTGCTAGCGGCGGCTTCGTGTGCGAACTCACTGAAAGGGTTGAGGCACGTCGGTGTGATCGTTGTGGCGTTTGCATTCGTGGCCTCTGCATCGGCTCGGATACCCTTGAAGCACAGTGGTTCCATGCGGATTGCTTCCTTCATCTGCACCCGGAAGCGAAAGCCTTGTCCGCAGGTTTTATGGCACAGTTCTGTATGTTGGCCTCAGAGGAGCAGAGCTCGATGTTGGAGTTTTTGCATCGGATCCATGTGTCTCCGGATCGGCGCCGGCAACTGCAGACCTGCCCCACGGAAGATTACGCCGAGCAGGAGGCATCCTCCCAGCAGGCAGTGGATGAACGAATTGCTGGACACAAGGAGTTGGTGTTTCTGGTAAACAAGGAGCTTGCCTCATCGCAGCTGAACGCGACGTTGAGCCACCAGAGCATTCCCGACATCCGAGCTGCAGTGGAGCTGGCAGAGCAGGCACAGGTGCGGGCGGACCTGCCAGAGCTACTTCTTGCGAAGCAGCGTCTTCGCTGTCATGATGGCCTGGGTAAGGCACTCCGAAGCCGCGATGTAGCTGATCTGGATGCGGCAGTACAAGCCTGCCTTCAGTGTGGCCTCCACCCAACTACTCACAAGAGCCTGGCTGCAGCACAGGAGCAGGGTCATCTCAAACAGGAATGTGCTTAAACCACTGTCTAAACATGCATCTGTTTTTGAACAGTGCCCTGAAAATCTGTTTCTAACCAATGTTTAAGCATCTGTTTAAACAATGCCTTGAGTGCCACATTACCAATGTTTAAGCATCTGTGACCGCAGTTCCCTGAGTGCCGCAATATTTGAGCATGTCTTATTGAAGCTTTTCACTGAATGCCACACATCCCATTGTGTTAAAGGCCATGTTTACACGCATGTTTTAACAGTTCCCTGATTGCCACACGTCCCGAGTCCGGTAAAACCATGTTAAAGCATCTGTTTAGGCAGTTGCCCGAGTGCCAGGCATCCGGAATGTGTTCAATGTTGAAACGGTTCCCTGAGTGCCTGACTGCTTAAACCAATCCTTAAATAGCTGTTTGAACAGTTCCTGGAGTGCCACACATCCCGATTCCGTTTAGACAATTGCCCAAGCATCTGTTTAATCAGTTCTTTGCGTACTATATCCCTAAGCTTGTTAAACACAGGTGTAACCTGTTCCCTGAATGCCATACATTGCCATACATCCCGAATCTGTTTAAACCCATGTTAAAGCATCTGTTTAAATGGTTCTCTATGTGTCACATATCTCGAATGTGTTTCAACTCATCCCTGAGCGCCACACATCCCGAAGGTGCGTAAACCAATGTTTCAAACATTCTGAAACCATGTTTAAGGTGCCGGCGTGGCTGTTGAGAGGGTTGGTTCAATGCCTTGGATGTTGAACCAGTGCGTGTAAACACCTAGGTCGAAACACTTAGCTTCTCATGTAGCTTAGCCCGGTTTAAGCTTAAACGGTTCAAATATGACTGGTCAGAGGTTTGCCGCAATGCTGTGGATCTTGCACGAAGTTGCTTCAACAGGTACGTTTAAAGTTTAAACATATCGCCTGTTTCATTGTTTTAAGATGACTCGACGAGGGTCCCCTCGGTTTAAGCACTTAGCGTTTGAACATCCGTGCCTTTAGACAGTTTGAACAAGACCCCCGCCCCAACCTTGCATAGGAGGTGATCAAGAGAGATGCTGAGCGGAAAGAGGCTTTGGCCCAACTGAAAGCAGCTCGGCGAACCCGAAATCCAGTCAAGATGGCTGAAGCAGCGATGCGAGCATCTGCATCTGGTGTGGCGGACAAGCGGTTGATTGTTGAGGTGTCGACGGACGCTGTGGCCATTCAGAAGAGTCGCAAGCGCAGCAGGATGCTTGAAGCACGCTGGGAGGTCCAGCAGTTGTCCTGCTTGGAGCCCGATGTCTGCTCTGACGATCTCAGGGAAGCAATGGAGCTCGCCAAAGATGCGGGTGTTGCTGATGATGTCTTGCAGGCCGCAGACCGCATCTTGCAGCAAAAGATGCTGCTTGAAGACATTGCTCGTGCCATGCGCTCGGGAGATGCTGGCAAAGTCCAAGCACTTTGTGCCATGGCCGAGTATGCGGGGCTGCCGAGCGACCTTCTCGAACCCGCCAAGGGTTTTCTGAGAAGGGAGCATGCGCTGGCAGCGGCTGTAGATGCGATCTACAACAGCCATAGGCTGGACGATTGGTCTGCAGCGCTGTCAGCAGCACGTGCCTGCGGCGTCGATGATGCCCTGACAAAGTTGGCAGAAGGTGTCGGACTCATCGCACGTCGGCAGCAGTAAACAGTGCACCGCCGGCAGAGATCTAGACTGCCCTTTTGTTTCCACTTGTTTGGAATTCCGCCACGTTTTAGCTTTTGCATGGCAATAGGCGTTGATGAGTTGTGTGTAACGTGTCGCTTCCTGGGCTTCAGTCGTGTTGGGCTCAGTCTCTGCGCACTTGTGGTTTGGGGCCTCGGTGTTGGCCTTAACGACTTGGAAAACTGGTCTCCTCATGCCTAAGAACGAACGGGTAAATCGTAGCGAAAACCACGCTGTGGCTTCGCAATTCCGATCACTTGGGTATGGTTGCTCCTGCTGTTACAGCAAGATGTTCAACACGTCGAACGGATCTTGGCACCACAACATTGTGCAGCACCATGTGCGATCCCGACAATTTTCCCTTCATGCCACAGACACATTGACACACACACACACACACACACGCACACGCACACACAGACACACACACTCCCAGACGAACGCCTTTACATGCCTTAAATTAGATCCACTTATGCTATCTTGGGTTTTCATGTCAAGTATTTTCTGAACGCGTCATGGCACGGATGTTTCACTTCCACTCGCATTGTTGACCATCCTGAAGCCTTACGTAAGTCTCGGGAGGCCAAGCAGACATGCTCGGCTGTGGCCGCGCGTTTGCACCGTCGGTGTTGTGACGGTTTTGGGATTCAGGCTTTTCGGTCAAGCTGCGCAGAGTGTTGGCGTGTTGGCATTTGTAATCATAATTATCTGCAGCGTTTTCAAGAGGGCAAAGGCCGATAGGTTTTACCCATGACTCACACACTAACCGCCCGCAATTTCTCAGCAGCCTGCATCCCTTCGCCTTTGCCCTTTGCCCTACGGTATGCGGCAAGTGCCGTGGATGATGAACATGCTGGGATGTTCCGGCTTTTTGGAGTGTGGATTCTCAACTCGCGGACGACACCAGTACTCAGGCGTTTCATCTTCGCTGTGCGGGCTTGCGCGAAGACGTCGAGATGCGCCGATTTTGGAGATCAGCAATGTAAAATGCGGCGACAATTTCATGTTGGAAGATGACATGCAGAGCCCCGGTCCGCGTCCATGCCCCGAGATGCTCGGACAGCTTGGTTCGAAATGGCATTGCTCAGAAGATTTCAGACTTTGTGCGATTGAGGAAAGATACGGTGTGGACGACATCCCACAACCCATCCATGCACCTATGTAGTGCTTTATTGTAAGCTTCTTGTACGCAGCCCCAGATTTGGACTTTTTTTCAGTGCTTTGGTGGGCTGATGAGGCAAGGACCAGTGTGTTCAGGTAGGCGGAGCATCAAGTCAAATTCAGGTAACTGGAGCATCAAGCTCAAATGCTGTAGCGCTGCATGGCTTCCACAACAGCAACACAGGATGTCTATGAAGAATCTACATCGCAGACGCTGGATGTGAAGACGTAACAACATCGGTAACGTGTCACGAAACGATCGAAGAGACACAATGCCAACATGCGTTCGGACAAACGGCTTGCAACTGTTCACAGGCAAGAGTCAATCTTTGGGCGCACAGCGATGCAATACTGATGCAATATGATGCAGTGCATGTTGGTGCCACTTCGGCTCGGTGCAGTATCGCAGTCGGGACACTTCCACAAAGGATGCCGGAGACAACAATCTCGGAAGTCAACTTCTTACTCAGCAGAAGCCTAGGAGTATTTCTGATCTTTCAAACAGCCGTGATCTTGTGCATGCGAACTTGAGGCCATCAAGACGCCCTGTCCGCAGCATTTGGCACGAATGGCGGAGGGTTGTGGGGTGCATGGCAGTCTTAGTCAGTTGATGTGGTTCAGAGACATGCCCAGCATGTCAGAAGTGAGTCTTGCCCATCGGCCCATGTCTGCTGGATTTGTTTGGGGATGCATTGCATGTGAACGCAACACCCGCCCGCGACATGCCAGTGGCAGGTGCCCAGTCCTTAGCAGTTCATCGCCCACCCAAGCCGGACTGGACGAACATGCACAGAGAAGCCTCGACATGAGGTGAAGCTGCATCTGGGTGAGCGCGAGCAGGTCTTGAAGCACGTCTTCGTCTGCGAGGCCTCTCTAATTCGCCGATCAGTCGCTCACAGGACTCATACTTGGTTGCAGGAACCCCAATCCTCCTTGGAATTGGCCTACGTTGCAGCCAGATATTTCGAGCGCTTTGTGGGCGTCCCAGGGCACTTTAATTGGGCTGTTGTACGTAACGGTATCGTCAGAAGAAGGAATGACTCGTCACACTAGTCGCGCAAGAGGCAGGAGTAGCCGAGTATCCCTGACGACGGCAGAAAAATACCCACATCGTGGGCTTGGGTCCAACTGCTTCCAAGACTGCATGCACGACCCCGTCGCTGCAGACCGTTTTGGTTCAAAGTTGGGAGTTGCTGTGCGCGGTCAAGCTTCCCGACACGATGTCTGTTGACCCGGCGAAGGTGGAGGACGCAGAGTTCAAGAGTTACGCCTGGCTCTTCAAGCAGATGCCGTTGAAAGCGTCGACAAGTGTTTGAACCGCCTTCCTGTCACAGGAGCTCTGCAAACTCATCAGCGACAGCTTGCCGGAGCACTCCAGTGCTTGTGAGCTTGTGTTTTCTGTTTTTGCCCGTAATGAGTGACGGCTACTTAGTGTGACATGTGGCGAAGTGTGCATAGTCTGGATGAAGCGCGAGGAGATCGACAGGCGGTTTGCTGCTATTGAGAATGCCTCCAAGGTCCCAGAGGACGTCGGTGTGCTGGATTCGATGCCGAAGATGCTGATAATTGCTAATGTTGGTGGTGGTGGTGGTGGTGATGGGGAGGATGACCATGGCAGAAGCTGGCGCTGTTACTGTAAACACGAGAGCTCATGAGCCGTGCCTGCTTTGCGCGAGTGTGCGAGTCGACACACGTCATGACGATGACGATGCACAAGAAGAAGACTGTGATGATGATGATGATGATGATGATGATTATCATGATGATGATGCTTTGGGGGCTGGGGTAGATGATTTCATTGGTTGCCAGAGAGAAGCAAGCTATGCCCGGCGGTATCCTGCAAAGGTCAGCCTAGCTCCCTCATCATGGATGTGGATAGGCAGTGCCTTTCACCACCAGCGGGCATGAGCCCTTTTGCTGCTCATGGGTTCAGGACTTGGAAAAGCGCTTGGCAGCTTTGGAGCAGAAGCTCGCCGCTGGCCCCGCAGCTGGGCCGACAGGCCCTGCAGCACCGGCAGAGCCTTCGGAGGCCCGGCGCCAGATCGGTTTGATTTGAAGTGGATGTGGACCTCTTATTCGTGCTGGGGAAAGCTTGAACCTGAACAGACATGCTCGAAGCGCAAGCTGCATCATGCCGGATCGCAGGTTGGCTCACAGCTAGTAGGTCTATCGGCCCAACAGGGACGTTTAAGATGGCCTCAAGGGGGCAGGTCCCAACGAGTCTTTCCATGCGGCCTGTTTGGCAAAGGCCACTGCCGAGGCCATCCAGGCCCAAAGCTGCAAACGGCTCGCCTTTGCCTCGCTTGCCCTGGAAGCCCAAAACGCCCCTTCTGCGTGGGCGAGGGTCAAGGTCTCCGGGGGCTGCAGCAGCTGCAGGGGCAAAGAGATCAAAACGGCCCGCTGAAGAGCTGACGGGGCTGGGCCATGCAGTGGAGATCTCACGGGGGGTGGCCTTGCTGGCCTGGCCGTTCCTGGTCCACATGCTATTCCAGCTCACAGACAAGCTGAATGCTTTCGACGGCCTCTTGGGCCGAAATCTCACCATGCGGGTGCTCGTATATGTAGGCTCCTCCATGTGGCTTATGAAAGCGGCTCTCGCCACGGATCTTCGATACACAACGCGAGCGCTGAACCAGCTCTTATCCCGCGTGTTTCAAGCTGCGGGTTTGGAAGGTTGGCTCGCTGAGAAGGCGTCTGAGTTCGTCATCTCAGTTCTGATGCGGGTTTCCCGAGTGACGGTTGCACTCGCAGCACTGACGCTGAGTCGAAAGCAGCAATCTCAGGCCAATGGGAAGCGAGTCATGTTTTCGACTAGTACGTCTGACATCCTGCAAAGACTTGCTCAGGGTGTGCTTGCAAGCGCCGAGGAACTTTGGCTTCCGCGTGCTTCCGACCACTTGGGAGTTGGATCTGTCTAGTTCAGAGTCTCGGCAAATGTGCGGTTAAAGCTTGTTGGTCGCGCTTCCTGCCGCGGCCGCTACTGTCCTTCGTAGGTGGCTGACACAGCTCCTTGCTCTGTTGCTGCTGCCGTGCGACATGCTGGCCATGCCAAATGTGTAGAAGACGCTAGGAGACCACATGTACATAGCTTAGGATATATGCGTGCTAAGTGGCAGAGGGAATGAGGCGAAATGTAACCAAAACATGTTGAGGTTCACGAGAGCTAAGGATCCATACTTCCTGCTGCTGGATGCAAATGGAGATGGTATTCTTGCCGCATCCGAGGTTTTCCACTTTGCCACCTGGCCTCCCGTAGTGAATGCAGCAGCTTTGCTTGTGTGAAGAGAATGGAAGCCGGAAGCCTGCCAGGTTTTCGACATCAGCAACCGGCTCTGGCGCGCTGCCGTGACGTCGGTCATTGGTCTCTGTCTGCTGCAGCTGAAGAAGCCACCAGAGACCAAACTCGTCTGGTCAGAAGCAATGGAGACTGGTCACGGGCCGTTGAGCAAGCTTTCCAAGATCGTTTATGCCATGCAGAACCCTCGCCAAGGAGAGCTGCGTATGCTCGCGAGACGGGTTGCCTTGGGAAGCCGTCTCATCAGTTGCACCATCGTCCTGAGCCTTTTCGTGCTGCCCTGGGCCTACTTTTTCGGCCTTCGCCCGCACCTCGTCTTCGCTTTCGGGGGTGTCGGTGGCTTGGCTGTGGGCCTGGCAGCCCGAAGCTTTGTTGGCAATCTGATTGCTGGACTTCTGATTCAGCTTAATCGCCCTTTCGTTGAGGGAGACGAGATAGAAGATAAGAAGAACAACCTCAAGGGCGTGGTTGAGGAAATCGGCCCAATCAACACCCACATCAACAGTCTGCAGGGTGTGATGGTTCATGTGCCTAACCAGACTCTCTTGGACGACGTTGTCATCAACAAATCCATCAAGGACTTTCGACCTATTGAGGAGTCCCTTTATGTGGTACCCTCCTCGGCCTACAGCCTGCCAGATCTTGTCGGGAACCTGCAGTTATTGCTGGATTCCCATCCATCGCTTATGCAAGAGGAGGATGTCAAGGAGCTAATCCAGCACCGTGGCGGTCGTGTGAAACTCTTCCGTCCTCTGGCCATGTTTGATGGCTACTGCGATCTTGGAGCGAGGGTGGTGATCTATGCCTTCTGTCGTGGAGCCCTGTCCCGACGGGACTTCAAGGCCCTGAAGAGCCAAGTGATGCTCTCAATCCACAAGTGCATTTCTGACCATGGCGCCGAGATCGGCCACCTCACCGGAGCCATCCGCGGCCGTGGCCCAAGGCCCCAACGCGCCGTGACGGTGGCTCCAGCGACGGAAGTGAAAGGTCGGAACAACTTTGCCTCCACAGCCGGCCAAACCTCGAGCTGAGACCCACCAAACCCACTTAGCTTCGGCCCAAAGATGTGCCGAGAAGAAAAGAACCGCTTGGAAGCAGCCGGGCATACTGTCTTCCAGTGCTTCGCTACAGACATCATGTGCATCTCTAGGGCCAGAATCAGAGGCAGCAGGCGGGGTCGGGAGGTTTCTTGCCGTGACCCAACCCTGCACCGACTTGGCCGTTTACCTCCGTTGAGAACAGTTTGTTTTGCCAGCCTCATTCTCATTATTACTACCATGATGTTTATCATTTTGTTACCTTTTGATCATGATCATTATCACCATGATTACTATTTGTAATGCTTTTGACTCTTGCCATCGTTATCGTCATCACCATGAGTTTCATTATCATTTGACAATGTGCAGAGTGGTGTATTCCGTTCCCTGCCATTCTTATCATCACCATACTTTGCGCCATTATTCTCATTGTCATTATTATCATGGTTGTCACTGTTATCGCCATTAGCATCTCAGGATCATTAGCATCCTGTCATTGGTCGTATTTTCAACATTATGTGTATCATTACATACCATAATCAACTATGGTGCCTTGACCTTGCATCGCGAATCATTCAGCCATGCAAGAGGCAAAAGTTACCAGGTTCTCGTATGACGTAACACTATTTACGTCAATCGTTATCATCCTGACGATTACTAATGTCAGTATCATAATTGTTGACATTGCTGTCACTTCCATTTTCCAACTTATGACCAAGCCAGTATTCAGCATTAAGTTTGGTTTTAATTGTCATACTGCGTAGAGGATCAAATGTTAACTCTCAGTTATCATAAAGATGAATAATTCTTGTTATTGTCATGACGACGACGACTACTACTACTACTACTACTACTACTATACGACTATCATAACTATTTGTATGACTCTGATTAGTATCAGGTTGATTAGTATCATTACCGTGTGCGCACTATTTATTGTCATCATAAGTGTTATCACTATCAGACTACCATCGTTATCATTATCATGATTATCAGCATCACCTATAACACTACACTATGAAGGAGGCAAAATTACATTGCACGTTGCTGGTTGTTACATGAACATGATTATGTTTAGTACTATCAGGTTTATTTGACCGAGCCTCCTCAGGAGGTGCACAAGCGATTGGTGGCCATAGAGAGCACCACGGCCACGCACCGCGAGGCTGCTGGGAGAACTCTGCAAGGGATGTAGATGCTTTTCTCCTTTGCTTCGGGGCTTCGGGTTTACGGCTCAGGGCTGCATGCACAGTGCACAGTCGCGCCGTGTGGAGGTTCTGAGCTCCATGACTTTTATTGAAAATCAGGATCTCAACCAGAAGCTGGATGCGAACAAGAAGGAGCTGTGGGGAACTATGGTAGACGAAGCTCGGTCAGTTTTGACTGTCAAAGTTTGGGAGCCAAAAAAAAGTGTTAGCTACACTTCAGAATTATAGGACTTAGACTGACAGCCAGAGCAGAGCCTTCTGCCAGGAGCTGCAGCGCCTGGTGGCATCCCTGGAGGAGTTCCGGGCAACGGTGTTGAAGGCTGTATTTATTACTTGTAGTTTAACCATACTCGAAACGAAAAGCCATTCCAAGCGAAAGTGTGTGCCAGCAGTACAGCGACTGCGACGAGGAGGAAGGTAGCAGCTGCAGCTGCAGTAGCGCCAACAGAAGCACGAGCAATCGCAGCAGTGGCTGTAATGGTACTCGCAGAAGGAGGAGGAAGGGGAGATACTGCCACCACGCTCACGACTTTTTTGTGAGTGCTTCGTGCTGGTGCACCATCTGGATAGAGTTTACGAGATTAGATGAACTCCAATCCCTGCACATGGTCAGTAGATAGGGTAATTCTCGGTGCTTTTTCTGGTGTATCGCGGAGAGATGGAAGATCCATGTCGTTAGGACAAGATTGACAGCGCGGGCGGTGGTAGTGCCGGGGCCGGTGATGACATGAAGAAGGGGGCCGAAGCCCAGATCATGAAGAAGGCAAGCTTTAGGGATTTAGGGCTGGCAGAGGATCTTTGGTAATTGAGAGGGTTTTGGGTTCAAGCCTTGTGTATGACTTCTTGGCGTTGGTCTTGTTCGGGGTATTGGGAGTGGCAAGGCGGCAAGCTCCGACGATAAGCTCGCTTTGCAGTTGAAGCTTCGTGCTGAGAGGGCTGGAGGATGGTGGACCCAAGCACGGTTCACGCGCGTGGTATGAACTACACGTCTCAGATCCCTCTTGTAGTGAGAAGCCGCAAGCCCGCAAATTCTGGTCAGGTTGCAACCAGGCTGCAAGACTTTGAGTCGCAGATCACGAGCCAGCGACTGGACCAGTAAGAAGTGGGAGGGTATTGCGCAGGTCTCCAGGGACAAGAGTTTATATCGGGTTTGGGCATTCTGGCCCGGAAGTTGCGGGACGTCCTTAGACCAGATGCCTGTGGGGCTGACGTGATTTCAGGATGAGGACTCAGTTCATGTTCGGTGTTGCCAAAATCGTTTGGCGACAACCTCAGAGTGAAACATCCTCGCCCCACGGAGCTTCTCAAGCGGAGGCTCTCGACAGTCGCCACGGACTTCGACAAGAAGCTCTCGCACGTCCATCGCTCCACCGGGGCCACGAAGCCCATTGACGGCGCAGGCGCGGGAGGAGACACCGGCCTCGACACGATGGCTGAGGCGCCGAGTGTTTTTTGGGGGGTCTAGGGGCTTCTTTTTGGGTTTCTGGGGGGTGAATGTGCGCAACAGCACGGGTTTTGCAAGAAGCTTGAGGATGTGGACCAGCTGAAGTTCGACGTTGGGGAGCTGAAGGATTTGCTGACGAACAGCAAGGGTGAGGTAAACCACATCCGCCGCATTGTGCTGGCCTGCGAACGAGACATGGAAGACTTCACAGCAGCTGGAGCCCCAGAGTCCAGAGGGAGGGCTTGTTGTGCAATAGCTGTTGAACAAGCCGAGGCGATGGACGCCGTGAATGTGGACTTGGACGAGATGCGCGCCCGTGTAGATGCGACCCACTCCATCATCACCAGCCGCCAGCGTGTGGAAGCAACCATGACAGCAGAGATCTCGACCATGCGCCTCGACATTGGCGACATCCAAGAAGCTCTCAAGAACCATGACTCCTGGATGGAGGACGTGTCCAACACCCTCCAACAGATGCAGGAGAAGGAGGAGAATTTGAGTGAGGATATGATCAACCTCAAGAATGCCCCACCCTCAGAAGCATTCCCTCAGTGGCAAGGGAGATTCAGAGATCTTGCGATCAGGACCACAGCAGATCTCACGCCGAAACCTGGTCAAACTCAGGAGCTCACAGCCAAGCTCGACACCAAGGTGGACAACGTCGCGTGGAAGGAGGCATTCACGGTTCCTTCATTCTGCACAATCCCCGGAAGTGAAATTTCGTTTCGGACTCCTGGTGTGCGGTCTGTGGGCACCCGGGTAGGCGAACGACGACCTTGATGCGGCGATCAAGACTGTTCGCGATATGGTGTCCTCTCTTCGATTGGATGTGGATGCCCGGCGCCGCAAGGTGACCAGCCCTACCTTTGCTTGAAAAATTGGGCACGTCGCAAGGAACTTTCTGTTTTAATGTGGTGTGGTTGAATGCCGGCTGAGATGAAAGCCAGGTGGACGAGATTCTGGCCACCGTCCGGCATGACATCACAGCGGTCGAGACGAATCTTGAGGACCCCCATGTACTATATATTTAACGCAATTGACGGACGCATCCCACTAAAGACTGCGCTTTTGCAGGAATCCAAGTCCAAGCTAGCGATGGACACTGACCATGTTCCTTGGCTGCCGCCAAGTGCAAGTGCCACAGAATACGCGAGAAGACAGAAGCACTTACTCTGCCACCAGCTGCACCAGCTGCAGTAGAGCACCAGGCTATCAATGCTCTGAATGGCCGCATCGACTTCACGAACAAGGATCTCGCCGCAACGCAGGCCTCGTGCCACAAGCTGATTGTCGGGTCGTGGTGCAGCGGGTTCGTGTTACAGCGCATTTTGCGCAGGAAAGCCTCCACACTACCCAGAACTCCCTCAGCGATTGCTTCAACGAGGTCCCCCGTATTCCTGAGCTGCTTTGAGTGCCGTGATCTCGCCTACACACTCCTTGTTTGTGCAAGCGGGACTCTGGAAGTCTTTGAGGTGGCCGTCGTCCGCAGCGACTTGGAGCGGAACGTGGCGGACACTGAGGCAGATCTGACCCAAGAAACTGCGTGTTGCCTTTTGCCCCCTGTTGTGTGCAGCACCACCGTTTTCAGAAATCGTGAGGAGGTGTCCCTGCTAGGCGCGGCTGAAGAACGACAGCCGCTCGAAGCAGCAGGAGGTCATGGAGAAGATTGGAGATGTGGAGCCTCGGAGAGCACCAGAAACCCTCTTCGCAGTACAGTGTGTCCAGCATGAACCGACGTAGAGAATCAGCGCTGTCCTTAGGAGCAGCAGTCGGAGCTTCGCTCCGCAGAGTCCTCACGCCGGCTGGGTGCCCTCGACCTTCGCAGCTCGACCTATAGCACCTGTCAGGGCTTGAAAAGATCGAACGCCAGCCCAGCACGCACACCTACCAAGGCATGAGTGGAGTTCAGGGAGGCTTGGGAGAGCAGAAGCGTGACATCCTCAAGCTTCGCGAAGAGGCTGGAAGCTAGCTCCTTGTGGTGCTGCATGCTGCAGACGCCGCAGAAGCCTTCGTGGGGAGGTGAACGGCCTCACGGTCAAGAGTGCCAGCCACGAAGTGGACATCCAGAAAGGGTCAGATGTGTCTCGGCTGGAGGTAGTATCTCGTGGAGGACAGGATCACTGCACAGCGTTTCCTGAAGGCTGTCAAGAAAATGGAGAAGCAGCGCAACTTGGACGGGCAGAACTTCAAGGCGCAGCTGGACGCCATCCACGATGTATTGGACACCAAGGCCACGCCCCCCCCATGCGCGAAATGCTTATCATTGCTGAACAGTCTGAGCGATTTTGTGCGAGAGCAGTCGGCGGGTTTGGCTGCAGGTCAATGAGAAGCCCTTCGAGGATGTCAAGCACTGCGTCTCCTCCTTGACTAAAGGTCGGACCATGTGCTCGTACGTTTCGGCGTGAGAAAGAGCCATGTCAATGTGAGCTTCCGCAAACCCTTCCATTTGCACAGGCGCACATACACATTGTACATGCGCATGCGCACGGACACATGTTTTCTTGACTGCATAGGCTTCCTGTATCGCGGCCGGAGCTTGGATCCAGGTGTCGTCAAGTTCGCGCAGGTCGTCGGCGTTTTCCCTGGCCCACGATTTGACGATGCTGAGGGTGGTGAGGGGGCAGAAGCGGACGTCGAACTCCTGGGCTGGGAGGCAAGGTGCTCCTCTTGCAGCCTCCATACTCGAGAGCTCAGAGCTTCCTCTGCTGGGAGCCAGGAGAGCGCTGAGACCTTGTCCTTCCGGGTGGACAAGGTTTGCCTTGCAGGGCTCTGGCATTCTGTAATTCTGTGCTACGCTGCTGCTCTCTGCTCAGACTTGCTCGTGGTGCTAACGGAGACGACGCCGAGAGCGAAGACACTGCCGCCACCCCCACCAGCGCCTCGCCGCCGCCGAATCCGACGACAGTGACGACGACGACCACGTGACCACGAGCACCATAGTCCATAGTCACCATACTAGCAATGGCAGCTTGAAGAGCATTGCCGCAGCAAGCACTACGACGACGGCAGTCAGCACCATCTTTGATCACCCTGTCTGCGTGCAGCTTGTTGAGACCCAGCAAAATTAAACGGCAGGCTTCATGTACTGAGGACGTGACTCAGTAGAAGCTGGCGCATGCAGGCCTGGCGCCAGCGCTGCTCCCAGCGCTTCCGCAACATCTTGGACATGATCGCCAAGAAGGCAGAGATCTGAGGGCTTCCATGGCCCAAGCTTGTTTATGCAGCTGCGCGTCTGTGTGCGTGCTTGGTGTCGCATGTTCCATGCACGCAAAATCTTGTCCTACGGAGACTTTCTGCGGACTGCGTCTGTGGATACAAATGCGCGACTGGGAGGCGGACCACAGCGTCCTGCGTCTCCTCCAAATCTCGCAGCAGCACATCGAGTCACAACTGGAGCTCTGGGATTGACAGCATGGTCTTGTCTTGTTGTATTCCGATGTTTCGTTGGGCTATTCGCCAAGTTTGGAGCTTGAGCCAGCTGTGGTTTGTTGGGGGTGCAGGCAGTGCAGGGCTCAACGCCAGGAGCGCGTGAAGCACGAGCGGGAGCTGTGGAAGGAGGTCGTGGAGCGACGCCAGCAGCAGCCCCTCCAGTTGGCCTTGTCCATGAAAGAGCCGCCGGGCCCCACTTGAGCGAGCTTTGCGTTTACATTCTGCAGATGTGCAGTTGGGGAAATTGTGTCTCGTAGTGCTTGTTGCTGCTGCCTTTGCCAAAGGGGGAGAGCATTCCGAGGTCCTCTCAGACCACTCCTCCACTCCCTGCAGCTGGAAGCCAAACTGCCCGGCCTCCCCGCTGAAGCGTCCGGAGCCCAATTTGGGCCATGAGAGCGGCAGGAGGTCATGCAGTGAGTCACGGCATCCCGCGTGTGCGGAACCGCAGGTGCATGCATTGAGAGGACTGCGAAGCCACGACTCTGAAGCAATCGCACGTTGACCCTGAATTGCAAAAGCTTTCCGCGGAAGGAGCGTAGTTTTGTACGAAAGCTAACTTTTTTAGCGCACCCGCCGCTGCATCTCAGAAACCTAGATGGCGACTGAGTCAGGAACGAGTATGCGCTTTGTGCCCTCGTCCTCTGCTCCCACAGGCCCCCATCAGCTCTGTCCTGTTGGTAACAGACACCTATTCATACGTGTGCATATATGCATGAACACTGTCTGTATGTTCACATACACGGCATACATTTGTTGTTTCAAACGTTTAACCCCCGATCATAAGTTCATGCTTGAGTGACGGTACGGGGGCCTGAGAGCATCCGCTTGACATCTGCGATGTTTGGCAGATGTGCAGCAGGAGGTGATCCCAAGGAGGCCGTGGGCCGCGGTGGTCTCATCATGATACATGCGCGATTTTCTCATAACAGTACCGCCAAGATTCTTCACACACACACACACACACACAAACACTGTGTGTGCATTCTCCTCGGCATAGGTAGGTCTATATACGTATACACACATACAGACATAGGTGTACATTTGGTGTGTATATATTTATATAGATAGATCGATAGATCGATAGATAGAGAGGGTATGCACATTGTATGTATATTGTATGTATATATATATATATATATATATAGTGTATATATATATATATATACATATGCACGCGCACACATACATATCCACATACATCTGTACATACATATGCACATACCTGTACATGTAAGTTTAATATACACATACATGTCCATGTACATATACATGCATGCATACATACAGACATACTGACACAGAGAAGCGAAGGAGTTGAGCACCCTTGGGTGCCAAGTATGTGTCTTGGAAAGCGCGGCCTCGGATACTGCCAGGGTTGCAGCATGGTCGCGGCAAAGTGCCCAGGCCATGTGGTCTCCAAGTCTCCTCAACTTAGGCTTTCAGGGTTTTAAACAGGGTTTAGGGTTTAGGGCAGTAGCAAATACCACAGAGCCTGGGTTCAAAAAGGGGCAGTAGAAAAAGGGCAGCTTTGGTATCGGAGCTGGTTTTGGCCTCGATCAAAATGATTGCAAGTCGTGATTTCTGGCTAGAATTGAGTCCAGTAGCAGAAAGGGGTTATGTAGGGTTCAAGAGACCAGATGCAACAACAAAGATGCTTGGGAGCCAGATCACCTTTAGTTAGATGTCGAGACTTGCAACCCTCTCCTGTGCTTGCAGCGAGCCTGTTCATATTGGAGCTGAAGAAGCACCGACAAGAGCTCAATTGTCAATAAGGTATTTGCACTCACTTTTAGGCGTCTTCTGACTTCTCGGCTCGGCTCTAGTCAATTTCCTTGCCCAAGATGCTTCGCAGCGGTGATTGACGAAGCCTGGGACGCCCCAGTTGGGGCTGCCCTTGCTCGGAGAGTGTCACAGCTGTAAGCATCGGCACTGACGAAGTCAGAGCCCACTGCCCCCGATTTATGGCCTAGCAGGCCCCGCACCATTCCGCCATTGCCCGCTTCGACCGGACACAGACGCAAGAGACAAAACGAAGTCCCGCAGAAGATATTTTGCCCGGGGGAATATAGTAATGATAAGAAGAATGACCAGCATCCTAACAATACTAATTAAATCTCTTTCTTTCGTCAGTCTTGGCCCTTCATGTCCAGAGCTGCCGTAAAACAGGTCCTCTCGGGCAGCCACACTCAGTGCGAAGCTTGGTTCCGGGTTTCAATTTCTCAGGTTTATCCTCTCAAAGCCCTTCTGAGGAAGCCCCAGTGGCTGCGCCTGCGCTGCGAGGAGCCCTCGCGGCAAGGTGAGGACTTTCGGTGTCTTGAGGGAAGCCAGCCAGCAACATTAGCAGCGCAAGCGTGAAGTCCAGAAACTGTCCAAATCCAGGTGCTCGCTTAGTTCAGCGCCCCTTTCTGCTGGACTCGGCCGCTTGGCTGCCTGCGCCCCCTTTGTTTTCACGATTCCGGCTCCATGCTAAGCCTTCCGAGGACGAAAGCCTGACAGCTTTCTTGCAAAGAGTCGGGCCCCGCTCAGCACCCAGAGAGCATGAGACCCGAAAGTTTGTAAAGAGAAGCCGACTCCCCAATGATTTGTCTCAGTCTCAGGCTGCGTCTTTGCCGACGTTTGGGCCAGCGTCGGCTGCTGAGTGACCGGCTTTGGATGGCTTTCGTCCCCCGTCTTTGCCCGTCTGACGATGCACAGCCTGATAGCCAGAGTTATGTGTAGTCATCGTCGTAAGGTTCGTGGTGGAGCCTCCTGCACTCTTAGTGCTAGTGTTTGTACTGCTCGCAGTTTGTTCATCGCCGATGCGGCTCGCCGTCGTGAGCATCCGCCGTGGATACAGTTTTAATTGAGCTGCATCATTACTTGAAGCCATTAGGTGGAGACTCTGGGCTTAAAGGCTCCGCCAGATCTCGAGGTGCGACGGGCAAGATTGCGAGAGAAGGGGGGGCGGAGCTTGCTTGTGGTGCTTGAATCTTAGACTCGGAGGTCCCGCAGACCGGCCCCGCCCTACTCTTCCTACACGAGGGTGTCGGCTGCTAAACTTGCAGGCTCTTGTTTGTGCTGTGCGGGAGAGTGGTAGCTGCCACAAATCGACGCCGTGCCGCAGAGGGCTTTTTTCTGGGCTCGTCTTGAGCGTAGAGTCGCTGGTTGTCTGGCGTCGCCAATGCCAAGCGCGCGCCAGCATGAGACAATGGATTTCACAGTGGGCGACAAGGCTTGGACACGGAAAGCTTGAATCTTCGTAGTATCCGGGTCCGTGTCGTTCCATTCACCAGTGATTCAGGTCTGCGTCTTACCCGGCCGGCATTTTCAGGATTTTGCAGCAGGACGTCGGAGGTCAACACGCGATATGAATTTCACCTCTTCCAGACAGCAATTGGAGGAGATTCCGGCGTGGTGTCCATGGTCGACCGCAAGGCCCAGACCTGCCAGGCGCGGCGGGTAGGCCACCAAGGAGTTCCTGATTGGGCCACACGGTGCAGAACTGCAGCCTTAGTTTTTTCAACAAGCTCTGGCAGGTTTCCGACTGCTTTATTCAGTCGCTTTCCGCTTGATAATATGCTTTGAATGTGTATACACAGATGTGATACGCTGTCTTTCCGGCACCGATGCCCGGCAGGTCTACTTCGACCATCGGCTTGGCTCCGAACCGCTGAATGTTGCCTTTCGCAACCTCAGCCGGGTGGACGGAGGAGGGGAGTGTTGGGTTTAGGTCCCTGGTTCCTGCTCTACACTTTACAAGCTAAGACAACAGTCCTGGGGCTACTCCAGTTTTCCTTCCTCTCGCCTCCTCCCTCTTCCCGCCCACTGCCCTTCACCTTCCGACTACTACTACTACTACTACTACTACTGCTACTACTACTACTACGACGACTACTACGAAAAAAGTACTATGAATTGCCACTAGTATTATGCTCCGACGGCTCTGGTCCTGCGGAGGCTCCGGAAGTTCCTGGCCGGTGAGCTCGGAGATCCTTCAGAGGGAGGAGGAGGAGGGCGGAGCTGGGCCCAGAAGGCCCAAAGCCAGAGATCCTCGGAGGCAACAAAAAGGGGCAAAAGAGACAGAGAACCCCATATATGTATATGTGTATACGTATGTATGTATGTATGTATATATATATATATATATATATATTATATTTATGTGTATAAATACATATACACATACATGTAACAACTTGTGAAGCCCTTCTTCTTTGTGGCGTTTTTGTTCGCCATAAGGAGTTGGATGTTGCGCCGGTGCTGGGCGGTGCCCTGGGCGCATTGGCCAGTGCTGGCTACTGGGAGGCAGGCTTAGGCTGCGAAGATGTTTGGAGCTGGATTCGAGATGCTCGCTGTGTTCGTCAGGGCGCTTTGGCACACCTTGGCTCAACTCCAAGCCCCTCTTATCCGTCAGGCACAGGCCGGGTTCAGGTTGTAATGCAGCATCGAGCGTGGCGAGGAGGGCTTCTTAAGCGACACTACTCACTCTGGCGGCCAGTGCTCCGGCTCATTGTGCAAGTTAGCTCTCTCTGCGACCCCGGCTCCCCTCAGCATGGGCGGTGTTCTGTGGCTGTCCATCCTGGCCCTGACCCTCGCATCGGCTGCAGGCCAACAAGCTCAGCAGGATTGTGAGGGGTGTGGCTTGGACATGCAGGAGGATGTCAGCAGCCTCCTGGAGCATAAGAAGCATACTGGGGGCGAAGAAGCGGGCAAAGGCTGTGTCGTGACTGGGAAGTACCACTACCCCGTCATGGCAGGCATGCGGATTGAAGTCAGCGAGTGGCAGCATTGCCAGTCCTACTGCCGGGTCACCGAGGGCTGTCAGTTCTTCTCCTATTGGCCCGATCATGGCTGCGAGCTACAGAGCGGCCCAGGGGAGTATCGCACGGCGACCTCGGCCTACAGTGGTGTGATCAGTGGCCCTGCGAACTGCCAGGATTCTCCACCCGGCGCCATCAACTTGCTTGACATGTCCTTCATGTATTGTGGCGTGCATCCTGATGCAAAGTGTTGCAAGTGTGGGACCTGCTGCCTTCCTTACTGCGACAATGCCAAGTGGACCCTGCGTGAAGGATGCAACTACGAGGCGGGAACGGGAGGATCTTCTTGAAGACACCCCTCGAGGGTTTGGAGCTTCGGACAGGTCATGGCTATTCCTGCAAGTTTATTTGTCGTCGTAAGTCGGGTGGCCACGCTTCAGCTTGAGACATTGGCTCCCCTCGAGCTTAGCAGCAATGTGTTGCAATCGGCATTTCACTGAAACCAGATCATGCAGTCATGCAGTGCTTTTTTGAATCTCGCTGGCAGGTCACTGGCTGGTGCCATCCCAGCTTCCCGCCACCTGTCTGCTTCGACTGAAGCAGCGCCGGAGCAAAGAGCACACCAGCGTGGAACCCGGCTGGAACATTCAGCTCTCTGATGCACGATTGTCCTTATAGGTAGGGAATGTAGAAAGCTCTAGATATGTCAGGAGCATGTGCAAAAACAAGCACCGGTCTCCTCGGAAGACAAAAAAAGGCTCTGCCCGTGCCCTCGCTTTGGCCATCAGTATCGCAGTGGTGACTGTGACAGTCATAATGAGGATTCTGTTGCTAGGGGAACTAGTCTTGCACTTACTGCTAGCCTGATTCTTATTCCTACTATGTTTTTTTTTGGAATTAAGATTGGCCACGTCTCAAGCTGCAACCAGTCCTTGCTTGCTCCTGCCCCGAAGGCGACGATGGCGCGTTGGCTTCCGCGCTGGAAGCCTCGGCAGCGGCCAAGGTGCCGTCATAGTAAGCATATAGTGGTCAGATCAGCGAAAGACACAACAAAAAGTAGCAATTATGACAGCAATGCAACGCAGTCACTGTAATCATGAGAATGGTTTTGATATTATTGGTAATAATGCCATGATGATAAGCCGATTCCTTGAGCTGCTTGGCAAGGCCGAGGTCCATGCGGCTGCGCTGGCGGAGGCGAGCAAAGCTGGCAGGGAACCCCAGTGCTGATGACGTTGACTTGACTTCCATGTCCGGGTGGGGTTCAGGCCTCAAGCTGAAGGATCTGGACGAGAAGGTCGTGCGCCACAATCGCGAGCATTGGCTGGGTTTGGAGTGCTTGCAGGAGCGCAGTTGGCACTTCCGAACATGACCGTCATAGCGGGGCAAGAGTCGAGCGCAGGAGAAAGTTGGCGATCTCTCTGCTACACAGAAAGCACTCCACGAACAGTTGTCCGCCAGCCTGAAGAAGGACTTCTGACCAGGGGCGACGGTGTACTTGTGGACCATAATGAAACGAAGGTGACGTCGAGCGACTCTAGAGGATGCCCTGAGGAGTCTGCAGCTGTGCTGATCATCTCTTCAAATAGCGTCTGCAGCCTGGAGTACGGCCTGGATTCCCTAGTGGTGGAGTGGATCAGTTGTTGGGGTTTCGTCCGTCTTGCTGTCGGGTTTCCAGTTGGTTCCGTATTTTCAAACTCGTCGTACCAGTGAGGGCCAACAGGACCCCCTTATGTTACATGCTTTTTCTGCACATCTGGGCACCGAAATGCATGCCTGGGTCTTGCAGGACGTGCATGGGCTCCGTGAGCACATCGATGAACTGTCAACAAAATGCCAGGCTTCCAGAGTTGACATTCGCTAGGTTTGTGCGTACCTTTGTGTGTATGCGCTGTGTTGTTTAGATGACTAGATAGGTAGACAGATAGGTACATAGGTAGACAGCTAGATAGATAGACAGATAGATTCAGATACATGAATAGAGTGATTGACCCACGTCGATCTGGATGTGTGTATACACACACACAAACATAAAGAAGTGCCTGCATGCATACACGCGCACAAACATATACAGACATGTAAACAGATATCTTTAGATATATATATATATATATGTGTGTGTGTGTATATGTGTTTATATGTACACGATAGACAGATATAGATAGATCGGGTTCATGGATAGACGATTGGACGGACGGATGGATGGACGGACGGACGGATGGATGGACGGACGGAGGGATGGATGGATGGATGCATGGAATGAGATAGTATATACATAATAGAAGGTCGGCAGGTAGGTAGATGGCCAGGTAGGTCAGGTAGGTAGACCGATCGATAGGTAGTGGCATTGATAGTTAGAATGGCATACTGACAGAAAAAACCTACACAGGCATCCAAAGCAGAGTCGAGTGAAGCATGTGAGAGAATTCTCAGCTACGCAGCCTTGCAGGCCATGGCAGATGCAGTGACGACGCTCCGCACTGAGATGGGCCGGAAGGCGCTCGCCACCAAGATTGCCCAAGCAAGCCAGCCTCTTGAACTCCGAAGCCCTGAACTCTGAACATTCTCGGCTTTATCACTGCTGTCTCCTCGCGAAACATGCCACCTGATTGTTGTAGGTTGTTGTTTCCCGGTGTTTCGTGGAGCGCAGCATCATGCATCCTCAAGCCTCAGACTATCGTTCTAGCAATCCTCACTTCGTCCGCCAAGCTGTGCAAGTCGAGACCATTGTCGCATGGAGGCTTCGCACGAGCAGCTCGAGGACTTGGAGCATCAGCAGTGCAAGGCCGCTGCGGGACGTTTCTGGGATCCTCCTCGAGATTCACTGCTTCCTGATGCTGCGACGCCAATGGGTTGTGCCAAAGTCCAGAGCTCCGAGCCTGCAGCATCGTAACTCAACGGCATGTCACCACCACCTATGTATGTGTCTGCATACAAATGTTGGACGCATGCGTGGACAGGTCCCTTGGGCCCGTACAAACAACGAATGGAAGAACGACGACGCGTAGAGAGCATGAGATATTGACACTCAATCTGCTGCGCTGCTTCTCGCAGAAACGGCGTAAACGCTGACAGTTGGGCGGAGAACCCAAGACCGACGGAAGACGTGTAGGACTTTGGCTCTTAGCCAGGCCTTTGAGCGCTTTGTCGGCCGATGGGAGGCCTGCGCCGAGGCGGACCCCGCGTTTCTCACGCTCGATTCCCTACTCCAGGAAACACTCCTGCGCACATGCTACATGCCAGTGTGACTCGAAGAAGATGCCACCGTTGAATGTTGAAGCCTTCTCACCAAGCTTCACACGACAAATCCGCACTTGCAGAAGGCAGCCCTCAAGAGCTGACATTGTCAGATTTGTCAGAATTTGGAAACGCGGCCTGACGAAGACAACCATTGAAACACGGATGGGCAAAGAACCACAAGTTTTCCTTGAGCAGCTGTTGGTAAAAGCGGTGTGCAAGTCGCATCTGAAGAATGAAGGGCCTTACGCAACGACAAGCGGCGAGACAGAAGCAGCAGCTTCAGCATATACAGGAATGCTTTGATTGCGTCTGTTGTCGCTTTTGAGAGGCTCGTCGAAGGAATCTGCAGGATGAGGTAAGCAGCGCGATTTGTGAGGCGGGAAGGGCTGGGAGAGGGAAGCATTCGGGGCTTGGGCCGGCATGGCCAAGTCACTCCATGATGATGAAGACAGGGTTTGATCCCACCCAGTCGACCTACTATTACTTACCGGCTGCAGTGGAAATGTAACTTGTCCACTGCATCTCCGGACGAGACCGGTCAGCACACAGCACATGGCAAAGCCTTGGCGTAGGTACAAAGGCCTGCAGCCAACGCTTCTGAAGGGCATCGACCTGGAGAGGTGCTCCGATTCCGTGGCAACACAATGATGCAAGGGGATGTGCACGTGCATTGCATTCACTTATTCGCATACGTCTACACACAGATACTACACATACGTACGTAGATACACACACACATGTACAGCTCTCTACATCTGCATAGAATCTACAAACACGCACGCAGAGACATATGTTTCGCTATATTGAGGCATAGGCATGTATACTCACGAACATAAACATGCTGGTATATATAGCTCCATCTATCACACACTATACAAGCATAGGGGTCCATGTGTACACCTATACAACCATATATGCATACACATACATATGCCTATAAGTGTGCATACGTCTAGTTGTTTGCGTGTTTGCCTTGTCATTTGTATTGCGAGGTTTCTCATTTATGTGCTCGTCATTGTTAGTTTTATCTTGTTGATATTCCACGTTTCTCGAGTCGCTATGCCAAATCGCAAAGGCTATACAATCTGCGAATCTGCGAATTTAAGACTCTGCAAATCTGCGAATCTGCAAATCTGCGAATCTGCAAATCTGCGAATCTGCGAATCTGCGAATTTGCGAATCTGAAAACCTGCGACTTTGTGCCAACCTGTGAAACATCATGACATCCAGATTTCGTTTCTGTCTCAAGCACAGAGGCTGATACATGTGCGCATAAAGGAATCTGGTAGTGCCAAGGCAGGAAAAAATTGTTCCGGTGTGTGTAAAGACCCTGTTTGCTTCTTTTCAACATAAATCCAAATAACGGCATCATTCAAAAAGTTAACCTATGTGAAAGCTTTTTGTGGCTTCTTCATGCCTGTGGTTAATCAGATTACATACTTGAAATACTAAGTAAACATCCCATTCTATAGTGTTCTGCTTATATCTTCATTTTCATTTGTCACGTGCCAGACTAGTTGTCTTTTGGCCATTCATCAGTCCAACTCATGTATAGGAACCCACTATCATTGCCAAAATGAAGCCTCTAATCTGCATGCGGGCGTATCTAAATGCATGTCGGTTAAATTTTCTGCTTATATCAAGATAAGGAGCTAGCCATTTCAAAGGGTTTACGCACACATTTAGTCTACTTGCTGCCAAGCCGAGTAATTGTTTTTCACCTTTTGCATTCTGACAGCCCTATGCCGGAGGCAAGCAATTGAAAACATATGGGTTGGTGAATGGATGCACTTGTCCCGTGATTGAAACATGACCAGACCATGGTAATGTAGAGAATTAGCTAATTCCAGGTGCTTACACAGTGTATGTCACAGTATTATGTATACACAAAAACGTTGATTTAACCAGTCACCTAATCAACTTACTGGCAATATTTGTTAGTGGTATATCCGTGCTTTCTTAATTTAGTTTATGATGGAAGTTATGACAGTAAACTGAACGAGTTGTTTGGCCCCTGCTTGAACTAACCCATGTAGCACGCCAGCGATTTTGCGAGTATTATCAGGGATACATTGAATCATTGAATACTACGAGCCAGGACGAGGGACTGGTGATATCAGTGGCCAGCAGAGAAATCTACTACGGATTACTAGTACTCATACCACCACTCAAGCTAAACGAAATGCTCTGGGCGTTGGCACGATGGTAATATCTGACGCCAATACTCGTAATAATGTGGGAGCAGGTAATGCTAGGAGCTAGAGGATTACGGGCAGCCTTGGTTTCGAGAATGTAATGCTGCGGTGACTTGCAGGCCGCAGGCCACAGACATGTAGAATTTCAGGGTTCGTGGGCTGC